AGTAGTTGGACTTTGAAATGCCAGTTTCCCATCTTTTGACGACCCCGGCAAAGATTGAAACAACTTTTTTGCTACAAAATTTCTTAAAGTTAAAAAATTATGCGTCATAAAATGTTTGCCAAAACAAAATCCACCTCCGAATGTCCTCAAGTGTTTTAACCCCAACCATTTCCAATATGGCACTATCCGTCTTAGTGTAAGTCTGCCGGCAGGCAATGAGGTAAGGGAATGTCCCATCTCTGACAGTCGTACAGATTCCTTTGGACCTGTGCCAACTAAATACAGATATATGTATGTATTTACGGATGTATACACGGATACTCCCCACCCACCCAAAAAGTCCGGCCAGCGGTGGTAGAACATCAAAGACTAATTATTGATTTTACATCTACTTAATTTTGCTTAATTTTTCTCACCACTCGACATTTCCTGAATATATGCATGAACATGTGTACTCGCAAAAGTGACTTCCATCCGGACCCTTGCACTCCCTAATCAATAACACGTTATTTTCGGTAACAAATATGAATTGGGTAGTTCATCTAATCATCTCACTCGCAACAGACGGATTCGACCCCTCTGGAATCGGCCGTGAAATATGGCTTGATTCTCTTCTTGTCCGGGTCTACTTCAGACCAATCACAGACTTCGCTTGGAACCAAGGGCTGCACTTCTCTGTTACTCTCAAATGGGCTATTTTGACGCCCTAATAGAACTCTTTCTCGCAGTTTTTCGATAGTGTACTCATCGTTCTTTTGCATAAAAATGTTCGAGTTGACCACGACATTGGAATCTTTCATTACGTCCGTCAGACGGACTAAGTTGTGATTCCTTATAAAGTCATCGCTAACTACTGGCGGCTTACGGTTATCTACAATTTGCAATTTTTCGTAAAATTCAAGCAACAAGGCAATGCCACATTTGCAACATAACATACCGCCCCCGCATAGTTGCCTTGCAGTTGCCTTCCTTACACGAAGTTGGCGATCCATTGTCGTTTTCAGTATAATAAACTACAAGGTATTTCGTCGATTTGTCATATTAATTTAAATATGCATTTTACACGTATTCGTCTCACTTCGTTTCTCTTATCTGCAAACTGTGTATGGTACACACTTGTCCCACTAACGTTCTTATATGTATACATGTAGCTATATGTATATATATTGAATGCAAATATATCAGGCATATACAGACTTGGTGCATATTGTCATAATTTAAATGAGAATATGTATAGTGTATCTTTAATTTAAGCTGGACGAAGTAATTCGTCGCCAGGTTTGCAAATATTAGACTTGAATGTACTTATGAATCATGAAAATTTAGTTAAACTAAGGAATTTTCTGGGTTCTTTGAAATATCATCACATTTTTATATAAAAAATGTATATGTGCATTTCTTACCACGAACAAAACTAAAACATCTCAACCGCAAAAAAAATCTTAATACCACCAAATAATGAGGAAAAATGTTCAAATACTTAAAGAAAATATTTCCTTATTTCTCTTTCTTTGAATCAAAAATGGAATTACGGAATACGGAATTACGGAATTATGTACGGAATTTTGCATATTGTGCGTTCATTTGAAATAAATAGTAATTAAATAGTAATCGAGTAAGAAAGCTCCATTTAAATTTTAAAAGTTTTTTTTGCATAAATAATATGCACCCACAGCGATATCGAGATTGGAGGTACAGAGTTTAATGCTTTTCCTCGTCTTACCCAGCTGCAGAGTGAGTGATAGAGAAAGGATGAATTTTATGGCATCATTACTTTGTTTTATCGCTCATTACCTCCCTACATTTACCAAATCTACGTAAAGTTGGATTTTCAACGTTAAATGCGCCGTCCAACAGGCCTTAATTTTAACGGATTCCCCATTTAGTGGGACGAGGACGATAAATAGAGGTAAGCATTTTGTTATGTAGGGCAGCACAACAGAATGTCCATCCCATGAGAATATTCGTAAGGGGCAAAGGAATGTGCAAAGTATTGATTTCTCGAAAAGTGTAAGATCCCACAACTTTTTCGAACAGAATTGACCCGCCCAGCAGATCAGCACCGGTTACTTAAGCGTAGGTGACATGAACGTATTCGGATTTTTTTTTGTTTGACTGGTTATATTTAGAAAAATTTGGTTGTTATTAATTGCGCTCAACGATGGCCTACTTATTTTCTGTGACTTATCCTTAGTTTCCTCAGTTATGTTTTTATGAAAAATATATTTAAGTTTGCTGACCCATGTAAGGTTGCAACGTCTGACAAAAAGAAGAAACCAGAATTCCATTAATTGGACTATATCGATTGTACTAATTTTATTCTTCTCATTGTTTAAAAATATTTATTGCCCATTCACAATAGGGCTTAAGGTGAGCTGATGCCTTTATCCTTTCAACATAAGTATCTCTGCACATACGTACAGAGATATACAAATACATACAAATACATACAGATATGTTTTGCTCAGTTTTTTAATATGGCATATGCTTGGGTAGCGGTGCGTGTCTACGAGTTTAGTTGTCTCGACAATTTTACCTTATCTTGTGTCTTCATCTCAACAAATTTTGTCCAATTTATTTTAGCCTTTGGATTTAATAGCTTTTTAATTACTTTCTCCGTCTGGGTGCCCAATTAAGCATTAATTCCCATGCCTTATCGCTTTTAAACCTTTACCGACAAAAGAAGGACAACTTCCAGCTTGAGGGAAGGTTGAGGAGAAAGTAATAACACGACCGACCCAAGTGAGTTGCAACCAAAGACTGACTTTATTATGGTAGGGTTCAGCATTACTGCTGACACTTCACCCTTCCGGTTTTAATTCATAAGTTTACAAATGAATTATGCACTAGACACAAATAAATACAAGTTGTTCACAACTTATTAATAATTAATGTAAACACGCTTTTCTAACAAAATCACAGTTTTGTATACATTTTAAGCACAATAAACACTGCTGCATAGCAGCCGACTGACACCCTACTGTCGTGGTTGGGAGTAGATACATATATACAAACCACACAAATATCATGAGAGTTTATCGTATGGCGAGTTGTCATTAACTTAATCAATGTGAGAACAAAGTACGAATTGGCCGTGGTGTAGGCAGACCTACAGATAGACGTACACACTATTTACCGCTTGCACTGCATAACATACATTAATAGACAGAATTTTGCTGATCAATAAATCCGCATAGGCACATATATGTATACATAATAGAAATTATGGCTGGACATGAAAACGAAGCATACTACACTGCGGCAAATGATTAAAGTAAGGCGTTATGCGGCCTGCACTATAAGATGCGAATAGCCCTGTAGCATCTTCCAGTACTTTTGCAATGATGGAAAAGCTGACACAGCAAAATTTCGTGCAATTTACAGAGACTTTGGTCTCTGAGTTAAATTGAGTGTAAAAATACGTTAGAAATGGTGAAAGTTGAATTGGAAAGTGCACTAGTACATCAAGTAATAGATTTACTACAACTAGTTAGTCAGTTTGCACCTGCTCAAAACTGTAAAACATCCAAAAGTGTAGTGAAAAAATTAAAAACGGCTTTAAAAGAAAGTGCACCAATTACGCAGGAGAGTAATCAAGATAGTCAAGAGACGGGAATACAAATTAGGTCTAAGCCTTGTGGACAAAAGTTCTACGGAAGCAGGATAGCACAACAACGTCATTTTCAGAGGAAACATAAGAAAATTCAGATCACAATTGACTATAAATATGTGTGCACGAGGTGTATGCAAAATTACAAATCAACCTTAGTGTTTAATAGGCATAAGTGCAAAGGCACAACAGAACTTACAGTGCCACCAGAAAATAAAGTGATAGTGGTAACAAAGGCCGATTTGCCTCAAATTACTACAAAGTGCGAGGACAAAATAGCTGAGATTGTGACGCATTATGCGTATCCTAAAAGACGTAAGTCAGTGTAACACAGATCAATTCGGCGTTCAGTGATTCCAGCATGGAAATTATAGACGAGGACGACGAATTGGTGTACATAAATAGGCCTATATGGCTCGTAGACCCATTGTGGGATTTAAGGCAACAAAAGCCAAACACAAGTAAGTACAACTGGTTAAAGGATTTTATTTTAGACCAGTATGGTCGCTTCTGGTCAGGAGTGCCACGATCCATGGAGTCGCAAGCTGTGATGTTAGTCATCGATCAGATTAGTGAAGTGTCATCGTGTTTAAATTGTGTGTTAGACAAAATGCCAGTGACTTTTGGTGAACTATTAAAATTAGAAAAATTACTCGACGAAAAACGCCAGCAGTGCCATTAGCGATTACAGCTAGATGTGCATTTTAAAAAAATGTATGAAACTGACTGACTCCAATGTGGACAGAGAAACAATTAATCAGCAAGTTCTCCTGCTCTTGTGAGTGAAAGTGAAAGACAATAATAAAAACTACTGCAGTTTATGTGCTACATAAACTCGAGGGATTCTACAGTATCAACAGTAAGTTGTCTAATCATTTTGCTTGCAGTGCTCACTGAATAAGTATGAGATAAGTTTAAATACGATAATGACACTCTCCTTGTATACTAACATAATCGTAGATATAACAGTAAAGTGCATTATGAATTCTTCTTTCGCCAGCGACCCTCTCTGGGATCTTCGGTACCGGTGCCCACGGTACAACACTAATATATGGTGTGAGCGGTTCATTTATGAGCAATATGCTCGGTTTCGTCGGTCCGTGCCACCAACTATGGAACTACAAGCAGTGAGTCTAGTAATTAGTCAATACAAGAGTATTCTCCTGCTACAATTGCGGAGTTTGTGCAATGTACTCCAACGACATTTAAAGAACTGCTGCCTGTAGGCCTTAGACTAAGTCATCAACAGAAAGTGCTCAACTCTCTCAACAATGAATAATCACACCATAATTAAATTTAATTAGGACGCTCCATAGTGTAAATATGTATGTATATAAGAATACATTACTCTAAAACTACCCTGCTGATCTAGCAAGTTAATATACATATAAAAGTTGACAACAACTGCCCTGCTGGAGCAGCACTGATAATGCCAGCTGTGTAAATCGACCAGGACGTGCATGATGTAAGATGTAAGATGTAAGATGTAAGATAAAAGCTGACTCGTACATAGATTAAAACTTGATCATTCCATGCTTGCACAGCAAAAAGAAATACAGCACATCAAGTATATGAGTTGCAAATATAAAAGCGTGAGGCAACCATCACTAGTTAATTATTATTCTTGCAGCACAACAGACAACCCTCTTATCTATTCAAGAAAAACATGGCAAAACTACTCTCCCTATTGGTCATCATAATCACTGGAAGGTAATGTTAAGAATTTCAATTTTTGAAGATTCTAATTAAGAATAGGAAAAGGTTACAATCGTTTGTTTTCACAGTTACGCAGTAACGATGCCATATCCGGCGGTGACGCTTGGACTTGGCGAGATGGCAACCTGTATTGGCTGCGTGCATCGGAGTAAGTCACGTATTTACTAAACTCACATAAAATTCCATATACATATAAATGCAATATTTATCCTAGATAACACGTACGCTGTGTGGGATGCTGAAGAACAGATCCACCCACGGGGAAGCTGTCTCCACGTGGATTCAATTTTTGAGGTAATGAGAATCATACAATTATAACAATTTGCACACGCAATAACAGTTTCGCTAATACAAACAACTAATTACTTAAATTTCATTAATGATATCCTATTGTGGTCTTGCAGGATCCATGCAGGATTACTCAGGCCATTTTCACTCGGTGGTGGGAGTGTGCTGACTTCTTCCCAGCAGAGGAGAAGACGCTGGTGCCTCTTGTGATGGGGGACATGGGTCCACTCGTAGAGTGGTTCGTCTGCCCAGACGGACCTGGTAACTAATTGTCCTTATTCGTATATTATCCATAAACACATAACACAATGTAGTCACCCAATGTAGCTATAATCATTAGAAAGGTATTAATAAATTGCACTGGTTTCTTGCCTTCACTAATCGACCCCTATTTACTTCAGCATAATCCAGCTCATAATAAATAAAATTGCATTCTAAAATTCAAAAGCAGTAAGAACACGCAACTTTCTAATCATGCAGAGCATTTGAAACATACAACTCACCATATACAGAATAGCATAAATAAAAAAAACAGCAGCCTACACAACAATTAAGTTCACAACTTACATCTGGTGCACATGCAATCCCCACATTACGACTAAGTAATTACATAGAAGTTAAATATAAGCACAACAAATTCTGTAATTAACCCAAATTTTGGAAATATGAGACCCAGCTCGTAACATTGAACATAATTACATCTATAATTATAATTTCTATACCAAATCTGGTTCGTTGTGAATAATTGCGTATCCGGGGTACAAATTTAACATGTTTTCTATGTTCAGTAGTACTAACTAGGAACTGACTACATACCGGGCAAGAAAACATCGTAATTATTTATTATATAAATAACCACTACGTTGGCCATACACTTCCTTTGCTTTTCGAGGTAAAATTGAAGTGTCGACGTCTAATTTATATATGTAGACCTGGACAAATTTCCAAACACCGATAAGATTTTTTTCATATTCGGTTCCCAGAACATAATGACATTTGAAGAGGGTGTTGATAGCTTCCGAATAGTTTTTGGAGTCGATGGGAAGAATACTTCCGTCGCAAACGATGAAGAACGAGGAGAGTTTCGACGGGTTGTCGCCAATGCACACTAAATTGGGTTGAGATTTATCGATCTACCACGTGTCCAAAATAGATTGAAATGGTGTTCCAGTCTATATAAATATACATCAGTTAATATGGAAATGTTTTTTAATATATTGAATACATTACATTTGCCGGTATACTTCATTACATTATAAAATGATACTAGGAGGTCTCTGGCGTCTTCGATTCTCGCTCGACTTCCACGTCCTTTCCCTTGAGGGGCTGGGGGAATTAATTGTAGCAACGCAAATAGTACAGCTATTCAAATATCACACCTCTCTGCAAGGCAAAAATTAAATAATAATTAAAGGACAGGTCTAAAAAATAATAAATAAGTAAAAGTTAAGTTAAATAAAATAACCAGATACGTCAACGAGGAACTTTTATAACGCTGGAGTAGATTTTAGCAGTTTTATGTGGTCGAGAAGTTTAGCAGCAAAATATGGCCAGATATCACGAAATTCTGACGAAGATTTTTGAAACATTAATTACAATTCATATTGGAGCTAAGTATATAAATTTCAAATAGTAAGAATTACATTTTTTTACAACAAAACACTTGATATATGAAGAAAACAATTCCAACCAAATCGTGATAAACTCGCGACGCGTTTCGCAATTTATTTAAGCTTCATCAGGCTATAAAATAAAATAATAATTATATGATGCCCTTACATTATAAAATTTAAAAATTATTAAAAAATGCTATTAAGAATTTAGGTATTACCGTGTTTTTTGTGACAATAATTCAAAATGTTGAGTTTTGTGAAAAACATACTTGTGGTTAGTATGATCGGATTTACACTGAGTTTGGCTTCAATTTAGACAAGTTTTCCAGTGTATTATTTTTACTTACCAAATATTCACACTCGGTAAACTTACGGTACAATTTTATTATTGAGACGTTGTTGGAAATTCTCAGGTGATTTCGGTGTGACAATGTGTCCGCCATTAATCTCATTATCCCCGTCTTTCCGTCCTTCCGACACAATCCATTCAATTCGTCAATTTTATTCTGTATTGTGTCGTCACAAAATTCATCGTCGATTCTTGGATTACCAAACTTCGGATTTGGACCACCGGAGTCGGCTAATACCCGTTTTGTTGTGGTTGCTGTAGTACTAGTTTTCAAATTTTTGTGGAGTTTGCGGAGCCTTGCTTTAATCAATCCAGCTCGGTTGATATTGTCAAATAAATCGCCATTGTGGGATCACAGCAACAATTGCAATGGCCAATTTTTTCTGGTCATGAGATGTAGGAGACAGTCTAATATTAATAAAAATTCCAAAATTATTTCTACTTACTTACAATCAACAAACTAATTTATTTATTCTTGCCTACCCTTTCAATTCAACCAGCTTGGCCGCGAATTCTTTAATTAACACAGACGATCCACTGCTATCGACCAATTTTCTTGATGAACAATCGGTGACCAATTCCGTCAGTTCTGGGCTAAAATCGATCAGAGTCTGCAATACCTATTGTAAATAAAAAATTATGTACAAATTACTTTCGACTTTCAGAAGAAGACAATCAAATTATAAAAACTATTACTTGTTTATAATTGTCCACCTCTATCTCAGATGAAGACCCGTTTGTTCTCCTTTGACGAGATATTACAGCCGACGGGTCACCTATATGGGCATCAAAATATAGATCAAATAAATTTTCATAAACGTGATATTGTCCTCATAAATAAAATAATTTTTTTAATAATTAATGCTGGCATTACGGGAAGGAGTAATGTTATCTGTAGATAACTCTCCTCGAATCCTAAAAATAATGTTGGGGGTAGTGACTTGATCCAACAGCGCCGGAAATACTTCTTCGTCTATATCTGCTCCTTGTTCGTAATCTATACGAATTTCGGCACATTCGTCCAATTTAAATTTCTCACGAATTAGAAATTAATTTGTAAAATTATACCTGTTATAATGTAATAAATATAATAGTGTATGAGCCTCACCTGTCAGAATAAATTCAACATAACTACTTAGGCATAAAATTAATTCTTTTCCTCTAACAAAATTCGAGACACGAAGTAATTTTGCCATTATTCCTTGCTTTGCACTCAGCTGCTGAATTTGAGTTCCGTGAATGGAGTAGGACGAACTAACCGTCACAGATGGCGCTGTTGCAAAACTGTTACCATGATACGGTGGTGGTGGAGATCACCAGGCATGGTGATAGAGCTTGGTGATAGATGCATCACCATTTTGGTGATACATGCCATCTCCGGTCGCTCGGTAATAACGGCTATTACCCAGTTTCTAAGAGTGTAACTCACCGCTCGAGTTAGTTTGGAGTGAGAGTACATACATGGCGCGAGAAATGCATCCCCATTTTTATACCGTTTTTGCGCCTCACCACCCCGCTATGGACGCTATAGAGCTGGTTGACGAACTTGACGTCTCTCTTGTTGGTAAAAACAACATATTCAAAATGGGTTTCGAAATTTCGAAAATTACGGGTTTTATGGCGCACACGGATTGACATTCATACGAGAAGTAGTGGTTTGAGAGGCTGGGTTAGCAGCTTGGCAGAATTTCTAACACGCAAAGTATGCTGAATGAGATTCAGGGAATTATTTATAAAATTCCAGATGTCTCGTTTTCGCCGGTCTCCATCCGTTCAGAATTACTTACTTGACATGTAAAAAATGCTAGTTTTCGAAATTCCGAAAGTTTGGAAAATCTAAGTTTTACAATTTAACTCTGTTGTTTTATTAGTGAAATTTTACTAATAAACCTCTGAGTTGGTTGCACCATGCCCATGTATGTAGCTAGAGTTAGCTCGGTATTTACCACATTAGTTTATTTAGCAGGGGCATAAAACACAAGCCCCCTACTTTGAATTTTGACTTAATTTTCCGCCGGAAAAATATAATTCGCCAAGGCCTGCACTCATACCTGACCAATATTGAAATACCTTGAACATATCTCTGAATTGGCAATAAACTCCCTTATATCTCCAAAATTGCCTATGTCATATAGTGGCGGAGTAACGCATGTCACGGATAATGATAACGCCTACCACATACATATGTAAGCACACAAGGAGCAGGAAGTTGATGAAATGTCTGTTTAATGTAACAAATATTCTGGCCAAGATTAACAAAGAACTTTCAGACATGCGTGTTTCACTACAGATGAACATTGCATGTCAGCTTATGTAAATATTTGAATGTACGTACTTAAATTATACATAAATTCCCGTAATAACAAAAATGGTTAACCACTACATAAATAAACTTGATGATAATATTTATTAATTCATCCTTTGTCACAAACTCCTACCATTCGTGACATTTTTTAAATTTGGATTTGACATAGATTAAGATTTTGGAATTAATTTTCGTTCTACACAAACTCAAAGTTGAAAAGATTAGCCGACGTAGGTTCGTGGGTTCATGGAGAAGAATTTTGTAAAAAAAAATTACTTTTAATACAAAATGTCCCACTGGTTTTCCTCCCGGGCGAAAATATGATTTCCAGGAGAACGATATTGCGGAGCTCCATCATCACTTCGATTTCCTATGCGTTTAAAACTTTTTTGGATAAAGGAACTTATGCAAGAATTTGGCTTGATGTCGGCCTTATATCCGTTCCAGTGTGACCTTTTAGTCCGGTTTACGTGGCCTGCCTAAAACATTAAAAAAATCACTTGATATCCAGTTCATTAACTATTTATTTAAGGAGTACGATTACATATGAGAAAATGTAGTAATTCTGGCACATTATAACATTTTGGTGCCGGAGAAATCCCTGAATGAGAACGGATTTTATGCCAAAGAGGAAAAATTGTGAAAGTTAATGACCTCTGATAAAAGGCACATTATTTTCCTGAACGACGTTTGTCGTCCACACGAAAAAAGGCATTTCTAACAACACGACAATTGTCATCGGGTTAAAGTAAAGGGTTAAAGTTTAACTTGTATTTTTCAAATTACCTCGGTTCCACCCGTTACCAGAATTGGACATTTGGAACGTTTCCTGATAGCTTGTAATCCCTTTATTGTGGTTGCCTTGATTCCCTGTAGGCTTGTACAATCTGGGTTCCTTTTGTCGCTACACTTCCCAGCGACCCGTATCCCGGACAACATTAGACGTGCCTTGGCCTTATTATGAGTGAGAGCACTGAGAAAATGAGAAAAAAACATGATGAATTATGGGGAAAATCATGTATCAAATCATTTTATTTGAGCCGTATTTCAAAAATTGGATAGCTTTGTCACTCAGCAATTTAAAAAACCTTAATAGCGGAAACATGCTTTAAAACTGGGTGTAAAATTTAACAAGTTTTTGAAACACTATATAAATACACATGTACAGTTAACAGATTAGTACTTAATAAACACATCATGCAAAAAAACTTACAGGTAGGTCTTGCAAAGGATGACTGCCAAAGCAAGAACCAATAAGGCTTTGGCGGATGCGAAATTCATGACGGAACTGTTCACGCTCTCCTCCGCGTTGAGTTATGATTTACAGAATAATGGGACTTCTGATATTTATATCTACGGTAAACTGAACACGTTCCATGTGTTCGTGTTAGAATCCTCGGGAGTAAAAAATTCTATTATCATACATACATAATTCAAGCACATTCGTAATTCAGTTCCTAACATGAATAGATTCCTGCACGAGGCTTTTAAATATAATATTGCATTATAAAGTGGATAATTTGTGGTACACTAGGGACGAAGAGATTAAGGAGAATGATACAATAGGACAAATTTTTAATGTGCACATAGTCGTAAATGATGAAAGCCACATGGTGTTTGAATAGATTCATTGCTGAGTTGAAAGATTATAGTATTTAAATTTATGGTATTATGCACATAAATATTTTTATGTATACACATATGTACATGTTCATAGCTATGTAAGTAAATAAATTTGTGAGGTAAAATGAAATGATATTTGGTGAAATTTGGTTGAGGCAAATTGCTACACTTTTAATACCTAGTATCGCCATACGGTGAGACTAGGTACTTTAAAGTCACAGCCAGTGTAAGTCCGTTAGTAACATCCATACATATTGGTTGAGAGGCGAAGTCGGCTTCACTCACTGCAACCAAGACTATCACAGAAACAGAAAAATAAAAAAAAATTAACATGGAAACATGGTTATTGAAGAACGAAGTTGTCGAGTATTTATTACTTCCAGTTGATAATTAACTTCAACCCACAGAGTTCAAATTAATGTTCATCATCTTTTTAATTCCACCGTGATTATGCATTTATAGTTTTCAGCATCTAACTGTGTTCACAATGGTAAAACTTGTAATTTTATGAATTCCATCATTAATGAAAATGTCTGTCTTCTGTGTGGAATGGATAATCAAATGATTTTGCGAAGTTGGAAACATTTAGAATTGAGCGATATTTATGCCGCTATCATATGTATGAATTTTGCTATTGTCTAATCACATCAATGAACTTCATATGAACATATGTATCAAATTGACAGCAAGAGATTATCAATCATTAGAGTACTGATTGTCAGAACAATTATTGGTTGCGTGTGAAAACATAGTTCTGTATTTCAGAATTCTCCCTAATTAATTCCCCATTTGATTAACCCAAACAGAAAAACCATGCTGAGACTTTCCATGAAACATTATCACAATTATTCTTGCGCAAAACATTATAAATTTTTCTGATATCAAAAAGTAAATATTTTGTACTTGGTTACATACCTGTTCAATATCATTCATAAGAGCTATTCTGATTGTGAATGATAGTGAATGAATATGATATTTGTGAAATGTGAATGACTATGAATGAAAAAGCTATCATTTAACACCTTTGAGAGTGAATGATATTTGCCATTCCTTCCATTTTCTAACATCATACACATACTTAATACATACATGGGGCATACTCATACAAAATAATACGAAATGAAACGATTTTGATACAAAATGAATGGAAAATCGTCACTCAGAAATCAGAATGATATGACAATGAATGAAATTTATGTTTTTGAACACGTATGATTCGTTATGGATCGCGATTTTGTATAAACAATGCCGGGCGGTGAGAACTGCTCCGAATACAAAATCATTACTTTATTTGTCTTACATAAATATTCTTTGATTGGGTGCGTTCCACTTAAGCAGTTGATCTGAATTCATTCAATGAATTAGCTATGATAAGACTCAATTCGTGGTACTTAGTTACACATACAGGAAGACTGAGATGACAGTTTTATATTTTTCCATATCAGCTTTGTGACGGCCGTGATGCTTATCTTAACTTAACTTATCTCCTGATAACTCGTAGCACCTCGGTCCGACATGTACTTAAGCTTGGACATTTACATTAAATATGCTTCTACTGACTTGAAAGGTGATCGAAAACTGTGTAGGGTGACTTATGTATACGTATACTGGTCAATAAATAATTAACTCACTAGGTATCCTTTTTTCATGTTAGTTGAAATATGAGTTCTAATTTAACTTTTTGAATACATAATGGTGTCTTATGATGGCAAAGTGCAAAAAATTTTCTGCAAAACCCATTTGCGAATTTTTTATTAGCCTCCAAAGATTACCAAATGGGTGGGGAAAAGAAGTATATAAAAAGTATACCTAGTCAGACGATAGCTGCAGTTTTAAATAATTAAATATTGGATTTTTTTTCTCCACTCTTCAGCATCGCAATTCACCCTCGCGCATATTACCCCATTCATTGACTCATTCATTTTCACCAATACTTCAAGTTGGGAAAGTACAGTGATAACATTTACACATTTAGTAACGTAGTTGTTAGATGTGTCTTGATGTGAAAAGCAGTGCAAATTGATGATTTGCGACACCCCAATAAATTAAAGTATGCAGTATTCAGTACACGACACGTCATTTATAACGAAATAAGTTTGTATTTAAGTATGTAGAGTAGCACGAACATAAGTACATATAGATATGCTTAATTTGGCCTTGACACCATCCACTTGTCGCATGCACAGATGCAGACGGCACTGCATACACACACACATACATTCCGCTTTCTATTATCTGACGCAAAATATGCAGGTTGGTGGTAGCGGGTGTCGTTTTTTTTTGCAACCGAAGTCAAAAACAAATTAAAAGACAACTGCTTTTAACAACATCATTGCGATATGTTCGAGGCAGTTAAAGTCAGCATTTTTCATCTAGATTCATGGTATGCAGAATTGGAATCACTGTAAATTATTTACTACCAAGATGGGTAATATCATGATTTAGCACAGTAAAGCGGTGCATACGGGGAGACTGCAATAAGCCTTTGGTGCTTGCGCAGCTGACGGTCCTGTCTAACAATGGCAGGATCGTCACCCCACCAATACATACATACATACAAGATGGGTAATATAGATTGGACCTGGACTGCGTTTGTGGTTGTTAGATTATTCACAACCTGCTTGGGTCAAGAGGTGAGGTGGGCGGTATTATTGAACACATTTGCATAATTATGTATAGCGCTCCTGACAATTATTATTCTTAATTTTATAGTACACCAGCCAATGTGACAAGACTCGGAATGCCCAGCTTCCGTTTGACCTTCTTATAACGAAATCATGTATCAAGGGGTCTGACCGTATAGAATACTATTAGCGTATTTAATTCTGCGTATCGAGCTCAAACTTTTTCCTAAATCAAGTCGCGAAAACTAAACACAAGTCGTGGATGCAACTTACATACATATTTCACTTTTATTGTGTTCTTCGCCTTGTCGAAAGGTTTAAAATCCAGAAAATCTTATCTTAAGACCAGGTGCAAAACCGGGAAAAATGTAAAAATTCACGTCGCATCGATTTCACCAAATTTATTTTAAAAAAAATATAAATTGATGTTTTGAGGCAATGCTCAAGATGGCATGGCTACTTTTGAATTATAATAAACCACTCCCCCTGCATACATTTGGGAAAGAATTTTTCAAAACATGAAAAGGCCTCGTGCACAAAATTAGACCTCAACCTCAATTTGACGCTTGAATTTCCCTATGAATACAAACTTTGTGATGTCATCAAAAGTTTCAAAATTCGAAAACTTGTGTTTGTGGACCTAATATATAAATCATTGCAACGTTTACATAATAGCCGACACGGGTGGGATTACAGAAGATAAAAGGCTGCACTTATCAGTAATCAGTTTCGTGACAGATAAGCAGTTGTACAAATAAACCAACAAATTAAAGCGAATGCATGGATTTAGTCACCCCAAAATCCATCCAGTCGTTGGAAATCTAACGTTTTCTACCCATTGCAATTTTATAGTCCAACAATGGGTGTAAGCTTACATAGGTAAATAGACGAGCCCATGACCTTTTTGAACTGCGGACACATTAGGGCAACCTGATTAAATATGTGTAAGTGTTAAATATCATCTGCAACTTAGCAAACAGGTGAACGGTGCAGATACATAAACAAATATGTTGTGCCATTGAACCAGCCAGACAGTTAATGCCATTTACTTGTAACTCACAAGTAAATAAGGTGGGCGTCATTTACATGATTGTGCCAAAGTGTACCTGGTATGTACAAATACAAAACAATGATATATGCTTCTCACCAAATTAATATGCTACACATTGTATGTATGTAAGACCACGTTAAATTGGAGGTATTTAATCATGTGTGTGAGCAATGCATAAATAAATATATGAGCCATCCAAACTTCCGTATTATTTTTACTTAGGGACCTCATACATTTACGCCAGATAAACAGGGGAAATGGAAATATAAATATGTCTGTATATTTGCATTGCATTGTAAATTAAAATTACTGCTAAAATTTTAACGTGTCTGCCTTCGTGAATACATACCCATAGGATATTAACATTGAAACCAAACCTTATATAAAAGGAATGCAAAGCAGTTAAAGCGACACTACATACATAATTCACATCTGGGATAATCATCATCATAGAAATGAGTACTCCATACGTTCAAACCGTTAATACTAACATTCTAGGAGAAGGACCCCATTGGCGAGCTTCCACTGGAGACCTTTACTACGTCGACATCGGAAGGAACGCTGTCCACCGATACAATCCTGCAACCGGGCAGAACACCAAAGTCAATATAGGTATGTAAATATGTATGTAGGTACATTTTTAAATTAAAAATGCTGGTCTTTAATTTTTCTCAATACATATGTTAGGTGGCGCATGGGGGGTTTCCCTAGTAATCCCGGTGGAAGGGGAGAATAATCGATTTGTTATTTCCAATGGTCACGACCTCCAGTTCATGGTGTGGGATGGAATTTCTCCAGAACCCACTTCCCTCACTACGTTCGCATCCGTGGAACCAGAATATCCTCAAGCAAGGTGGAATGATGGCAAGTGTGACAGTATGGGACGACTGTTTGCAGGCATGTAAAAAATATGGGTCAAAAAATACTTTTAAAAATATGAAAAACTGCAGATGAGCCAAAAATGGGAATAGGCTACGTGATGTTTTTTTCCCATAAAAATTTTGCTAATTCTTTACGTAATTTAGTGAATTTTAATACATTTTCGGAGGGTGTTTCTAAGTTGAATAGTTATGTTTTTTTCTTCACCGATAACGATAAAATATAGTGAAATGTAGCGTGTTAGGTGTACGTTTTGTGAGGTTTTGTCAACTCAAAAAATTTGCAGGAACGTCATCCGAAACTGGTCAACCGACTGGAGCCCTTTACCGAATTACGCAAGGCGAGGTTTCCCGGATGGTGGCGGGTATAACAATTTCCAATGGGATTGCCTGGAACAGCGCCAACACGCTCATGTACTACATTGACACGCCGACGAGGAGAGTGGACGTATTTGACTATGACATCGCAACTGGAAATATAAGTAATCAACTTGATTTGCTAATGTTATCATGAAGGATTTTTGAGACGGGTGGAAGATAGATTTTCTTTTAGGCATTCCTTTCTGGTTTTAGAGACTTGATTTTTTTAACAGCAAATCGGAGACCGCTTTACGACTTTGCAGCCATGGGAGAAAACGGTGATCCTGATGGAATGACGATTGATGCTAATGGGAACTTGATCGTGGGGTGTTGGGGTGGGTCAAAGGTGCGAAACATAAAAAAATAGCTTGCTGTACAGAAACTGTCGTTTAAGGTTCTATGTAATAAATGCATTTCATCCAACACAGATGATCCATATTAACCCCGTAACAGGGCAGAAGATTCGCTCAGTTAATTTCCCCACTAGTAACATTACCTCGGGTGCATTTGCAGGTCCAAATTTGTCCACGTTGTACGTTACCTCGGCAAACGTTGGGTTGAGCGAAATTGAGCTAAATTCTCAGCCTGCGGCAGGTTCTCTATTTCAAGTCACAAATTTGGGCGTAACCGGTCAAGCCGTAGGAAATGCGTATAGACCATAGCACTCAAGATTAAGAATCCATCCTCATGATGATAGTAATTATTTATTATCTTGGTTTTGACTCTTCCACAGACAACTTTACAAACAGCAGCGGCTTGTGGTGATTGAGGGGGCTGGCGTCGCATGAATTTTATTAGTTACCAAAAAAATAAAAAATATGTATGTATACTAAAAAATTTCACGTTTCCTGTAAAATCATGGAATAAATAGTAGCAGCATTGTTCAACGAAGCAGAAGGTTTAATTGAAAAATAAATGCATTCAGTTGTACATTCCAGCCAGATATGTATTTATGTACAAGCTTGAAGGGATTCGGATATCAAGACTAAAATTTAATCAAATAAGTCAACTATAAAAATTTTTGATATTGTTTGTACTTCCTTAGGCTCAATATTGGATAAATAAGATAATGATGTTCTAACTGACCCCGCATAATTAATTCAGAAAATACTTTCTTACCGAACACTTTTCCTATTACAATTGCATCGCATGGTTCCCATTTGATAAAGTCGGGCTTGGTCGTCTATTTTGTTAGTTTGGTGAGAGCAGCAGGCGGTGGGGCAAATGACATTTTCTCCCCACAATCGATCCGCTGGAACTACAGTAACATAGTTTTCCTGCCGATCCAGTCAAACTATACCACGAATCAGTTAACCCTCAAAATTAAAGATTTTGATAAATCTCAGGAAACTCGGTAGATTTGTCCTTCATGAGCATCACCCAGCCCAAAGATGGTTAAAATGTCATACCAGAAGTCCAAGAACTTGATTAGTTGGATCAGATATCCAGATTTTCGGAAAACCTTTCAGATATAGTAAAATGTCTAAGCGCAAAAACTGGCTAGCGTTTCAATGCTAGGTTTCCTGCGGAGAAAGTGGCAGAAACCTTTTGAAAGCCGCATGTTTCCGATTGGCCGATTTTTACTCGGGATGACAATCGGTCAAAATTCTAATTACTCTTCAATCTCTTATATAATTAAAGAATATCTCACTTGATTACACGTTTGTACCAAGTATGAAAACTATGGAAATTATTACCAACTATGATTACGAACTATGGAAATGATTTTTATTGGCAATAAAAAAAGGATTGCAAACTTGATTGAACGAATTTTTTCTAAATTTTTGAATTACCATGGCTTTCCTTGGAACTGGCAGTGTGATATTCTATGTATCGAAGATATATTTTAGTACGGAGATGTAAGAATATTATGCTTGGTTACCGTCCATAAATTACGTAGTGCAAAAATCTTGATTTTTTACCCCCTCACCGCTACGCTCCAGCAAATAACATAATCGTTTAATTCATGGTTTATATATTGGGGCGGAAATTTGTAACGCAAATCCTGACTACCCACCCTACTTAATTTAAGGTCGACATAATTAATAGGATGGATATTTTCCAGTGTTTCTCCTGTTTAAAAACACCTGGACAAAATTAGTGCATAAAAATGTTCTTATTCGTTTAATAACACCCACCAAAAATCAGGAAAAGTGTACAAAATGCATAAAAATAATTTAACTGATTACAATGCAATAACACGAATGCTAATCTATGCTACGATGTTTTTCAAAAATATTAGCAATGTCAAACCATTTTCTAATATTTGAAGTTTAAAAATATAATTTCCGACTTGATAAAATTTTAATTGTTAGAAAATGGCAATGCTTAATTATTGTTGAGCGTATATAAAAGTGAAGTATGAAATTAGCGGCATTCCGCCCGATATTAATTTTTATGCATTTTTGTGCATTTTTGTGCATATTATGCACTATGCATGCACAAAAAGAAACACTGATATTTTCCCACAATAAGCTAAATTACTTTCTTTACCTGATTAGTTCATGTAAGGGGTAAGTTATTTTAATAAATTGTCGCCCATATCATCGCCCTAATAAATACATACATACATACATAAATTTTTGATTCTACATAAATCCCGTTTTTATCCAGGAAGCCATTCAACAGTGGAATGCTTCTTTACTTTTATTACTACCAAACAAATTCTCACAAACCCCGTTGTACAGTCTAATACAGTCCTCGTGGCAACAATTTTCCACCAGAATATTTTGAGTGCAAGTAAATTAGTAATTATACATGATTTATGAATTTGTACTGCATCTTTACATACTTAATTTCATGTTACAAAGCAGTATTTCGCTATACTTTCATCGGACGAGTACAACAGTCCAAAATACTTGAAACCTATTTGAAAATGTGTAAGGGCAGCGAACGGTGCAAAGATTTTGTCCCAGTTGGAAAATAGAATGTTTGGCAGTCTCGAAGCGACCTGTACCAACCAGTCCAAACTGTACGATGAGACCGGACTGAAGCGTCGTCTTGCTTCTAAATTGGGAATTGGGATACCCACCACGTCACGAAGAATTCCTCTCAGTAAAAATTCCGGATCTGTGAGGAATTCTGGATTTCCTAAAATATCTGAAGTTGCCTGGATAAGGAGAAAATGGAGAATTTAAAAAAAATCTTAATTTCTTTATAAATTTCAAGATCTTAGATTATCAAAATTATTTCGAGAATTTTGTGAGATTCTGCAAATTGAAATTATGGAAATGTCTAATTTTGCGGAATTTTTGAGACTTTCTGCTGCACAAAAGATTTTCCTTTGTCAAAATATAAAAAAAATAACGTATTTTTAATTTTTTAAATTGTGTATTTATTTGGGTACCTGCATAAATGCCTCCATTAAAATTGTGTTCTCCTTTTGCAAATTAAAGAGCATCGGAATAAAGTAAGTGGATTTTATTTCACTTAAATAACTCTGCATTCTTTCCACCTGGAACTGTCTGGGGTACTGGGTGTGGGGCAGGGCTATGTTGAAGTCATCCTCCAACCCCATAGCGTGACCTAGGACAGCCCATAAATGTGCAAAGTCCAAAAGTCCTTCCCTTTTGGAGTTATATACCAAAGTTTTTTCAGGATTTCTGGCAAGCACGGCGAAAAAGGCCCACTGTGTCATGGCGTGGACGAACTGGTTCATTGGAACGCGGATATGGTTCCCTCCTAAGGTAAGAAGGTATAGTTTTTTTTGCATTAATTTTGCAAACTTTTCAAGTAAAATTTTTCGAAATATTTTTGAAATAAAAATTTTGGAATATGCTAAAATGCAAATTTCGCAAAGTATTAAAATAATAGTTGTGCAAAACTGTTTTGCAAAATTTGTATTTTAATTTAAAATACAAAGGTTTTGGAAACCTAAATATTGACCTCAATGTTTTGAATTCAAATATTTAATAAGAACAACAATTTCTTAAAATATTAAAATGCAAATTTGCAAACGTATCCCAAAACATACATACTTTGCAATTCCTTCGGAATAATTCGCATAATTTGAGGGATCCCAGATTGGTCCAAGTCCGTCTGGAAGGCTGCCCACAAACCGGAATTAATCTTCCTATTTTGAACAATAGACTCAACCCTGTGACGAAAGGTTCCTTGCGCCAAGGCTGCTGCCACGTTCTCTGCCACTCTGCCATGGATTAGGTGCACGTTCGACAAACTTTTCAGCGTCCAGGCTGGATACATTTGAAATCCGCGTCGCATCCAGAGAAATACTTGTAACATGGTGGCAGCATAACGACGCCCGGCGCGCGGACGGGTGTCAGAATTTTCTGCAAAAAAATGTCAAAACTTGTTTTTTTTCAACTTGATTTTTTTTAAGTTTCCGTTACATATTTCTTTCTAACTTTAAATTACAATTTTATTGTGAAATCCTTAGTAATGAGTATTTCATTTACCTGTAAAGATGAGAATATCGCTTATCTGGGGAAATGCGAAGAGCATAGTTAACCCGTAAAATGCCGATAAAACAACTCCTGTCACATTTTCCAAAGCAAATTGTTGACCTCTCGATACCACGTGTGGATTCATCCAGGGCGGATACAGTTCGGTGCCGTTGCCCCCACGCCATGTTTTCATGTCGAGGTATAATCCGGAAATAAGATGATGCACGGACGAATCCATGCCTCCGTCCACTAAGGAGGAGTGCTTGTCATTGAGGGGTCAGCCGATTTCGATGCCCTTTGGATATGTTTTAGTACCCGGTGAATGTAGGAAAAGTGAAGCAGGATTTGATTCCATGGCCCCATTTGAGCCCGCCACACCCCCTCAAAGTGACCCAAAACGCCTGTTTTTGTTCTTTCAAACCTTCACCACAAATCCAATTTTGATCGGATTTGGATAATTTTTGCATTTTCGTGATCCCAGATAGTTGCTTTATGATATTCGATACCAAACTCAACTTTTTTGAAATTTCGATTTTTTCGAAGACATACCCCTCGTCAGGAAATTTTAAAAAATATAAAAATTTTCAAAAAAGTTGAGTTTGGTATCCAATATCATAAAGCAACTATCTGGGATCACGAAAATGCAAAAATTATCCAAATCCGATCAAAATTGGATTTTTGGTGAAGGTTTGAATTCGGCTGTTTTAGCATTGGGTTCCCCTTTGAGGGGGTGTGGCGGGCTCAAATGGGGCCATGGAATAAAATCCTGCTTCACTTTTCCTGCATTCACCGGGTACTAAAACATATCCAAAGGGCATCGAAATCGGCTGACCCCTCAATGGGAAGCACTCCTCCTAAGCAGGCCCCGATCTTGCCAAAAATCTTACCCGGGCAAAGAATCCTGGCGCCCCAAGCTGCTCGCGCCTTCGGCGCTCGCATTTCCGTTTCTATTTAATCAATAACAAATGATAACAATTTTTCCAAAGGATTGCTAAGCAAGTATCATCATTGCCTTCGAAAAGTGAGTATAATCAGTGCGGTGGCGGTAAAACAGTTAAAATTTACTAATAAATGGGAGACATACGTTAGCAATTAACAAATACCATTTTCCTTGCAAAATTAACTAAATCCACAGCTTCATAGCGAACTTGGCATCACAGACAGGCAAGAAAGCTCGGCGAGATTTACTATCTGCGAAGACTTCTATGGTGTTTCGAATTTGAATTTTCCTGGCCTACTATTTCGCAATTGATTGACTAGCTAGTCCTTTTAATCGATTTTGACTATTTAAAGTTGGAATTAACATTCTCCGTTAAACGATGTTGCAGATACTTACAATGGGAACCATCGTGAGTTATCGATCGAATATATCGAGTATATCGAGTGATCGATGAGTTATCTTGCGGCGGTCTTTGGATATTTTGAGCCATACAAAGTTCTTACGTTTAGTAAATTGTGCTTCATAAATTCGAATCTGAAACCGTAGAATGCAATAATCAGGTCCAGAAGTGCAAAATGCAATACTTTCCATTTTGCTTCAGCGGCTCCGTTTTATTGTTCCAAGTTTGATTTACGCGGTTTGAATTCGGCATCTTTTTTTCACGCTTAGTCTTATTTCTGTAAATTTCATTTCGTGTTCGTCATAATAACCAATTTCCGCCCCTAATTGTTCTGCGTTTTTTATTGCGGTTTTGAATACCGTCGTGTGATAAAAGTTCAAGTAAATTCCTCTTTTGTCCAACAATTCTGGCGTCACACCAGCATCTGCATAAACCTTTGGAGTTAATACTCGCAAAGTTTAGGCGATTTAAAATGTCGTACTGAATTGACATAACTCAAAATTAAAATTTTTTCAAATGGGACACCAAGTTTGAAGCTTCAAATCTGGCGTCGTTCTCAAATTTCTTGTTTTCTGAAATTTGGGACAAAGCATCCGGACCTTGGAAATTACATATCGCAATGGTTTCAGTGATTCCAGTGGGGACTACCATCAGGTTTGTGAGTGTGATTTCTGGTTGACCTTACTGGAATAGGTGACTCTAACCACCAACCAACCGATTTGTTAAACTGCTGGCAAATTTTTACATCTTTTGCACAATTACGAAAAACGTTATAAACGCGATTCTAGATTTTGTAGCGTTACCAATAACCAACTTCGTGCTATTGGAGAATCATGGATTATCATTTGCTCTCGAATTCAGGACCAGGATTCTGTTTTAATCGCCTTTTATTTTCGCTTACACATGCTGCCCTTATTGTATTGGCCACATGAATCGTTCAAATTATGGATGTGAAAGGAATTCGTAGGAATTGCAAAAAAAATCTGTGGGTCAAACCTACAAAACTTGCCCACCTTGACATAACCAACTTCTATATTTACATATCTCACCAGGGCATACATTTGTTCAGTGAGATATATTCGGGGTCCAATCCTGAATTATGTTTTTATGGAATTATATTTTTAATCTTTGGTTGAATTTAAACTCTAATTGATTATTTTAATACCGTACGTAAACGCAAAGCCTTGCGAAGTACTTACAATCGGGCATGTCAGCATGAGACTAGTTACATACGTACTCCTATCTCGTTGCCAACTCTTACCTTTTGTGTTCTTTATAATTTTATTTCGTGCTCAATAGATTTTTTCTCAAGACACAATTTAATTTCAAACTTACGGTCTCTGCTTACGACAGAGTTCAATTATATCTAGTCTAAGCATGGGCGCCTGTCGGCGCCCCTGAGATTTGGCGCCCCGGGCAAGTGCCCGGGTTGCCCGCCCCAAAATCGGGGCCTGCTCCTAAGTGAAAACTAATTTTGTAAATAAATGTTACCAAAATCTGTCAAAATTACATATGTCATGCCCAGAAAGTTCATGATGTTTGCAAACCAATCCATGCGCTGCTGGGGACATTTTGGAGACAATAACATAGCAAGTTAAATATGACACGGAGGTGTTTACACGATTCAATAAAATAGTAAAATTCCCACATGTCCCCACGGTTGTGCAGCTTCTGGTTTTGCAAACTATTTAATGCAATTTTCCATACCTGTTCCTGTATAGTTGTATGTTGCGTATTGTTTGGTAAATTATTCGTTAATATTATCAAACAGACCACACATTTGTGTCGATGTTAAATAAACTGGATTTCTACACAAATAACCTTCACAGCACCACGAAAACAAGATCTTTTAAACAAGATGGATTATTTTACGCGTTTTCTTCACGCAGATTGCACCTTGCTGGATAAAACTGCAGGATACGGATGGACACAGTGGACGATCAAATACATACATATGTGTACCCGTGTCTTAACAAATTGCATGAATGGAAGTAAATAAAACTTTGTCAAGACTTGAAAGAGCGAGAGAGGTGTGAATTCCAAAACGACGAATAATGCAAAAACATTGCATATACATAAATCTTGACAGTAAAAAACATTGAAAGTTACAAAAGATTCCTCACTCTGGTGATGAGTGGATTAATAGTGAATAAATTGCGTGAAATGAAAAGTGACAAAGATTCCTCCCCCTTCCTACACCATTATATGTACCACTGTATTCAGAAATATTTTGGCACATTGTACTATTTTCTATAGAAAATACGACATTATTTATCATATGCAGATGTCAACAATAATAGAAAACCTTTGTATGTACGTATGAATGGGAAAGTAGTTAATTTATCAACTTGACAAAAAACCCCATGTCCACCATGCTCCTGTTGGGATTTTGCAGAGAGGGAAACCATGCAAAAAGGTAAATACATAAGTACGCACGGTGTTGAGATATGCGTCAGAGATGAGAGCAAAAGTGCGATACCGTTAGACAATTAGGTTTAATGCTGACATGCATGTGCTTGTAGTGGTTCATATTAATTTAAGAAGGACTTTTGCTAATTAATGAGACAACACGGCACAAAATAAAATGTGAAATATGGAAATAATTTAATTTATTGTTGTTGTTGTACATATGTATGTACAGATGTTAATTACGTGTGCCTTCTGCAATATTATTTACCGGGGGGGCTACTATATTTATCCCTGAAATACAACATATTGTGAGGTAATGTGTGAATAAGGAGTGAAAAAGTTTCTTCTGTCTTTAACAAAATCTGAGACAACATTTTCCGTTTATGAAATATTGTTGCAAATTTTCGTAATTTCGTAATTTTAATTTTAGTAAGATTTTGGCAAATTTTGCAAATTGTAAAAAATTTACAAATATTGTTTAATTTCCAAAAATTAGCTAATTTCAAAATTATCAAAAATTTCAAATTAAATAAAAAATCTAGGCAAATTTGGCAAAAAATGTGTATAATTGTATGTGGTAAAAATGAGGAAATTGTATGTGATAAAAATTTCAAGTCGATCGGATAAGTTTTACGAGAGTTCTCGCAAGTTGGATAAACAGAGGGATAAACAGACTTATGTATGTACACCACGGATACATAAGCCTTGGGTGGGGGTAAGAATTAACTAATTCATTAAGTGACTGAAAGTAGTCATCGATTTCTTAAACCGCTTTAAAATAATTTAATAAATGTAAAAATTAGTTAACTTATAGGGTGTGTTTTATTTGCACTCGAAAAATGAGTTCTGGATGGAATGGAATGAGAACGGAATGGAACGAGAACGGAATGATTTTGCTCTTAAATAAAACGGATTTTTGGAATGATGAAAAATCATTCCAAGCTTATTTTATGTTGCTTAACAAATATGAAAATCAGCCTAAAATTTAAAGATTTAAAAAATTAAATGCACAAACATTAAGAAACTGCATAACAACGGTATCATTCCGTGTTTACTCCAGCTCGCGAGTAGGAAGGAAAAACGATCATTCTTGGAATGCAATTTTTTATAATCATTATATTCCATGGCAAATAAAACACAATAATTTTCATGGAATGGTTTGGAATGATAAAATTCGTGCAAATAAAACACACATAATATTGTTTTGTCAAAACCAAGCAGTTTTAAAAACATTTTTGTGTTTTTCAAGTACTTACCCTTATAAATAAATTTATAAACATTTTTATTTTTATATTCTCAATATTGAACCCTATGTAAATATGCAAGTAAATTAGTAATTATACATGATTTACGAATTTGTACCGCATCTTTACATACTCCGTTTCACGTTACAAAGCAGTATTTCGCTATACTTTCATCGGACGAGTACAAGAGTCCAAAATACTTGAAACCTATTTGAAAATGTGTGAGGGCAGCGAACGGTGCGAAGATTATGTTCCAGTGCGACCTGTACCAACTTAATTTTTACAAACAATGCAGGGTTGTCTCATGTAATACTGGGATATTGATGGGACTAATTTTAATTTGTTCTTACCCAAAAATAAACGGACCCGTATTTTTGCTTTTTTCTTAATGCGCGCATTTGAGAGAGTGGCGGGCAGTTCAAATATTTTTTCAGCCAAAACATCGGATATTAAAATGGCTATAACTTTTTGAATTTTGGCGCGAATTCAAAAAACTAAAAACATGTATGCTTAAAATTACGTTCTCTAGAATATAAAAATCCATTTTCAAAAAATTTTTGAAATTTCAAATTTTTTCGGGATGTTGAAGATTTTAAAATTCAAAAACCAGCTAAAAATTTGAAATTTGAAATTTTATGAAAAGTGTGATTGAAAAGTGTGACATGACTTGCAAGAAAGTATGGACAGTCGTCCTTCGGATAGGGTCCTTATTGAAATTTACTTGGATTTGATCTCCCGAAATTTTATTGAATAAATCAGTTTCTAGGTAGCAAGGGTGGATTTTGATGTAGATACATATTTATAATAGTCGAGCAAGGGCGGGACCTATAAATTGCAGACGATTAGAAAGTCATAGTGGAGACTTTTACATGGGAATAATGCAGCATACAGCCCAATGAAATAGAAGTAAATTTTTTTGGTGAAAACTGTTTTTTATACAACGAAATGATTTATATATCCAGACTTGAAATTAATAAGGAATTAACATGTAATATATTTTCTAAAACAACTAACCCATTTTCATAAAAAATTCGACAAACCAATTCAGGTGATGCAGCAAGCAGTTAATAATCGCCTCACGACTCCACGTCATTTCCTGTGCCACCAATATTTCTCCCAATCACCAAAATAGTGTAATGCATTCCTCTGTACTTTTGTGACTTCAAGGTCACAATGTCAGTCGAATTTTGAATTTGACAATTAGCTCCAGTTCCATCGATCCAATAGTCGACAGCCACTATTCCCGTAAGTTTGATCCCTGAAGGAACACTGCAGTTGGTCGTGACAATAATCACGGGTGGATCTTTTGACCACTTTCGGTCGACGTTGATTTTTTTCACAACAAAATCCAATCCAGAACAATCCACGCCAACGTCCACTTTGCATATGTGCCGCGCCAGCGTATTCTTCACGGTTGACCAAGCCGTCCATGCCGTACCAGTGATGACGGATTTTTCATGAAGATTTTGCAAGACGTCAGCAGCATCCGAGAGACCAGCAATTTCTCCCCTAAGAATTGGCTCTTTGTAGCAATCCAAAAACGGTTCATGCTCAAGGTAAATACCACTATCCTCTTTGTTCATTGCAGAACAAACTTCGTTCATCAAAATGGTACATGATGCAAAAACGAGGGTGACGATCAAGGCAAAACTGCCGCCATACCAAAGGATAACTGCAAAGTGAAGAAAATCTGATAAAATTAATCATAAGTTGATACCTTTACTAACCATGCCTCCTTAATCTTGATGGCTTTTGTACAATGGTGGTGTCGCCTGCCTTCTCGTAACAAATACTTTCTGCAAGTTTACGCATTAAACAAGAAATACTTAAATACAACTTTTTCGAAAAATGGTCTACTTGCCCATATCACAATATCTTGTTGGGTCTGATTTTGCTTGAGGAATTTGCTTTTCACGCTGAAAATTCGCGTTCTATTTATTTTACATCACCGATAACTGACCACTCCGATCAATCCAGAACTTAAGCTTAGTTTTATGGCTTATGTATGCAAAGAAGAAGGACACATGTCATATTTAATTAATCAGTGCCACATTGTTCAAAATTTAGGCTGGAGATGTTCCTGAAGCACAGATATTTAAATTATCATCACAATTTGCAACCTCGTACATGCGCCCCAATTTATATTTGCTTTTCGATAAGGTCTGCCTTGTCAGGTGTGACAGTTTGTTTTACATCAGGGTTTTACATGAAAAAAACAGGTAGGGAAAAATGGATGGGATAAACAAGTTTTTCGCACCTTTAATCGCATCCTCAAGTGGTGAAAATCTGAAGAATGTGAATACATATGTATTTAGGTATGCTTATTTTGACGTTATGATTCGATTGCTCAGTAGAAAATTGCTAAAAAAATTCATTTATTCAGTATTATATAAATTTTACGATATTATCGGCCATTTTCTTGATATTTGACAAGTTCAATTTAGCATGATTGGTACTACATATTTCAGTGACACTGGTATACAACACACTACTTACTGTGACACCTACATACAAGTAGCGAAATAAAAAATATACCTAAAATAAATTGACAATTTTAGTAAATGATTTAAAAATTAACTGTTAGGTAATCCAGTAGTCTATTAAGAAAAAAATATAACTATGCAAAAAATACTTGCTCTCCATGGTGGTGGAGGCGGCCACACGATTTTTCCCACTGGGGGGTGGGAAATAAGCTTAAAAGGTGAAAAAAGTAAAACCCTGTTTTCCATGGACATTATTTATAAGCATGAAAGTTAAGTTTGCAATCAATCCGCAGTTTAATGTTTACTTTAGCCTTGTGTCATTTACTGTCAGTCATTGGTCGTCTCTGTGGAATATATTTGGGTCGGTGTATATCATTTGTGCTAGTATGGGGTTGAAAGTTTACATACGATAAGCCCAATTTTAAAAAGTACTGCTCAAAATACTTGAGCTTTTCCCCTTTTTGACGAAAAGGCAGCATGGCGGAGGTGGCTTAGTGTGGCTTTTGCGCCGGGTTTTGTTGAATTTAGTGCACCCCTGGAGACGAGTCGAGCAAACTTTTTGTATTAAAAACCCCGTAATCCAACTTACAGTCACGTATTGAAACTCGGGTGGCTCATGACGCGAGTGACTGGAAATTCTGCCTGAATATATTTCAATAGAAATATTAATAAATCCTGGTTAACATTTGTTATATTTTTGGTTGTAAACCTTCCATTCGACTAGGAAACCTACTACACATGTAGTATGTAGTACATATGTACTACCTGGTTGAATATATATACCTATGTATGTGGAAAATTCAAGTTGATTAAGAAATAATAAAGAATCGGCAACTCTACATCCTGTTTTTTACATAAATAAGTAAAAAGTATTTCACAACCCAAAATCGGATTATTTTATATTCTCGTAAATGCCCACGTCCGTCCATGAAGTATTGTGAAATCATTATTGAATAATTTTATGCAGGCTTTATGTCGATAAAATATTGATTTTAATGAACAGTTGAATCCAAAACTTAGTGAATTGAAAACAAATATGCCAGGTTTTCTAGAAAAGAAGTTTTCCTTGAGTTTCGAACTTGACTATGTATCTATGATCAAGGATACAATTCTTGATTCAGACCTTATTTTACCGCATCGCCATGACGACTACAAGTTCCGAAGGTTGACTTGTGCCAAATTTGGTGTGGCAAGAAGGACATGAATTTTGCCAAGTGTATAAATAAATAGCAGTATTTCCGTTTCAAATAATCTTGAACAAGAAGGAATTGAGAGGCATACCGTTAACCGTGGCAAGGCGTGTCATTTGCATGTCCTCCGCCATATGGATGTTTGTTCACACGGCGGCCTGTGGACTCTCTACGGTCTTCAAACTGGTGACCTTATCAAGATACTCGTCACTCGAGGAGGAAACAGATACGATGGAAAAGCTGCAAATATTTGTGAACATATACTTTACCATATTTCCTCTCTGCTTTACAGGAATTAGTATCACGATAGCATTTTATCCTCAAGTAGGGCCAAATATTGTGAATCGGATAGCCGAATTTGAAGAAAAGATTGAAGGCAATTTTTTTTATATTGAGAAGATGTGTACAGTAGGAATTATAAACTTAATAAAACAAATGTTGCAGTACTTTGGGATACAGTTCGAATAAATGGACGACACAGGTTGCGAATGCGGTGTCAGATAATACAATTACGTTGTTGGTGGCAGATTAATGGGTATTTTTCATTGTCACCGTGTTCAGAAATTTATATAGAATTTTCCACTGTGTAGATTTTCATGAAATTTCTTTAGTTGCACCACTGTCAGAAGGAATACCGTATTCACACATGGTTTGCGTTTTTAAAGGTTATGCCAAAGTAGTGGTGGCGTTTTCGGTTGAAAACATTGGTACTCCTTTGAAAGTTGGACATAAAATTAAATTTCTTTTGAAGAACACAAATCATAAGAAAGTTTCTAACATTGCTTAGACATTTAAGGTGTATTTATTAATTTGTTTGGCAAATTAGAGTTTTAAGCACAACAGAGAAAATGTAACATACCCAATATAAAAGGTTGCTTAAAGTGAGAAATTTTGAAATACGAATTCATCCTTTGTTTTCTTTACAATTAATTGGCGAAAGCGTTTATTGAACTCTGGTTTGTGTTCACAACTCTCCATCTGTTAAATAACAATAAATGAGTACTGTTGTTTGATTGGATTTCATATTACAAGTAAACAAGGTTCAGAAGCAGTCGAGTTTTTCTTGAAAAATCAAACACCAATTGTTTTTCCGGAGATTTTCATCGTATTTTATTGCTAATCTACATAGCTTAATAGCATTCACAAATACATCCACGCATCACATACGTAGAATACGCACAAATCTTGCAGGAATTAGTAAACATTTCCATGACTTTATACTCAACCCAGTAATGTACAAAAAGCCAAAAAATTTAATCCCAGACTTGTCCGGGATAAATATATTTTTGTTTAATTGACTATGCATAAAATTCATAGGTATACATATATACCTCACGATAGAGTACTTATACCAAACAGTTATGGTTTGCAACTTAGAAATTCTGAGAGTTCATAAAATTAAATATGCATTTATGTAAATATGAGTATCTGCACAGATATAAGTGATACAGCTTATTTGCCGGTACAGATATTTTATGTGGATTCTCTATTTCTATTTACCCTAATAAAAGTTCTTAGTACCCATTCCTTGACCCATCAATCAGTATGAGGGACATTGTCTGAGTCAGGCAAAAGTCTTGAATTACCAGGGGTGTCCCGCTATCAATGAAATTTGAGCCAAATTTGATTTTAAGAACGGCACAAGCTTTCACACCTTTAACCAACGAAGATCTCCTCCTACCGCATCTGCACTGCACGATAGCGCTCATCAGCTCCTGCAATACCTTTGTCGAGATATTATTCACCCACGAAGCGAGGGTGAAGACGAAAATGTTACTGACAAAAATATTCACCCAAGTAATGGGGAAAAGGAGAAAGGCTGGCATTGGTATTTCCCCATGCATCATGACACACACGTACTGCAAAAGGATTTGTAATGTAGGCATTAAGAGCATGAAAACCGGAATGAGCCGTTGCATAAGAAATCCGTTGAACATTTTTTCCAGAATTTGAATACTTTGGTACAATTCGGTACTATATTTCAATTCCGCGGTTGATCTAGCAGTTTGGATATTACTGAAAAATTAATAATTCACTTAGGGGTTTTTAAACACTCAATTTGTAGAAGGATACATATTGTATTTGGAGAAATACCTTCTCAGCACAGCAAAATAGTTCAACATGCTAACAATTCCGGCGAAAAGGATGTACACTATTTCAAACGTACCGCCCAGTATGATGTGCGAAGTCATCCAAAATTCCAGCAGAATAACGAGATGTTGCATACCGAGTGATCTAATTGACCAAGTTATGGAGGCACAGTCCTTCATTATTGAAAGAAGAAACGGTGGTGAGCATGGATCCAACCATATTAGCGCAGGTATGGCCAACGTCACGGCAGTCGAACTCAAGAATGCAACATCCAGGAACAATTTCATCAGTTTCGTTACCTTGTTAACTATTCGAGGAGGTTTTCCTATAATAAAATTGTCGTTATTAAAGCAGGATTAAAATTTTGGATACAAATTTTACAGGTATGGGATATCCGAGGTTAGCTTTTATTTAAATATTTATGAACAATATTTCATAAATCGGTTTAGCAGAGATTCAGTAAATTAAGATGCAAGTACCTTCAACTAATTTTTTTTCAAATTCCATACTTGAATTTATTATTTGCACAATGTTGACGTCCATATCGTAGTTCCATCGTGCACCCAAACCGATAAAGTAGATGCAGCAGAAAACAAAGCCCTGGAGTGTTTTAGCTTTCGGTAAATCACTTACGAGAAGATGAGCCAACATGAAAATACAGTAAGCTAATTGGGAAACGATTTGAATACGAAATATTCTTATCTGACTGAAATTCTTTGTCATGAAAAAATTTCCTGTGTTACGATCAAAATCGTACAAAATGGAGTTCAGTCTCCCAGACACTGATATCTGACGAAGTAACGAAGGGAGAAAGTCCGTTGAGTACATTTCCCTGTGAATAGCAATCGATTTCGAGTGAAAATTAGACCATCAGGTCAATGACATTACAGGATTATATATGTTGATACTGTAGGTACTTAAAGTACATTTATATTACATTATTGCCATAAACATACATATGTTATAGGAGACAGGGCAGGATTTAACCCACGGATTTCTGATATCTTTGCCTTATCAATAGCACGGAGGAGTTATCTAAATCCCACACAGGTAACAATCTTGTGCAAAAAATATTTAGAATGTGGACCAGATTACATAATTCCTTCAGTTATTAAGGTCTTGTTGAGGGCTGGGATCGCGAATTGAGAGTCCTTCCATAAAACTTTGTCCTTACCACCCTTAAGAAGTAACCGCGTACGAGTGACGAAATTCGGACCGTATCTCCATCCTTGCAACCCTTCTAGGTTGGTTTATAATAATTAATTTAGCAATAAAATATCTTACTTAGTACGAAAAGCTCTCGTATATTTCGGAAAATATATGTTAACGGTTGTGTTTTAGCTAAGGACTAAAACCTAAGAACTGAACAAAACTTTCGATGGAGTTTCGAGATGTAAATATTTGAATTCCTTACTCATTGGTTATTCCATTGAATAAATAATTTATGACTTGGAAGGTTTAATGGTTTAATTTAAATTCATGCCAACCAAATTGAACCGATTCGTGTTTCACTCCTTTCACACATCCAAAACTAATTGCTTTTGTGTCTTATTACCCGCCTTGCAGTGATGCAAATACATACGCTACGAATCGGTTTATGTATCACCAGCACAGATGAGTTATCTAAATCCTACGCAAGTAACAATCTCGTGCAAAAAATATTTCGAATGTGGATCAGATTAATTCATTCGGTCTAGCTGAGGACCGGGATAGCTAGTTGACAATCCACCCAGAAAACTATATATGGAATAATACTCCATAAAATAAAGTAATATTAAATATGGAATTTTGGCAGAAAATATTTTCTTGTATTGCTCCTCCATGTCCTTCATTATAACCTATTTCATAATCGTATGTAAAGGTTCATAGTGCTTTTAAACTCTTCTACTCTACTCGAACTATGGAGTTCTTACAGAATACATTACGATTATCATCAACGTTTCGTACCTATGTATGTATATAATTAAATATAAATATCCTATTGAATATTCCTCACAGGAAATATAAACAACGAAAGGCGTTTATTTAATAGGGTGGAGCTTTCACTACTGTAAATGATAAATAAAATATAGCTTTCACACGCGCATCGCATAACTTTATTATTCGATGCGATACTCAAAAGCGAAAATTCAAGACGCTTTTCAGTAATTAAATTAGTTGCGAAATACATATTTTGAATTAATTATAATTGCTATTGGTCTCATTCAGTTATACGCTAAATTGCAAAAGCCTCGCATTGTGCTAATAATAAGTATAGTTTGCACGTTATTGATAAAATTCGTTAACAATCCATGTTGAGTTAAAGTTAATATATTAATTACGGACATAGTACATAAAGGCTGGCCCTTGTATAGGTGAGCTACGATACATACATGCATAAGTAATTCTAGGTAATTGTTATTGCTGTTCATTCGTTACATGGTAGAACGCTCGCCTTGTGCGAATAATGCTTACTGTGAGTGACGCAATTCACTGACAATCCATAGAGTTAATATTTAAAGTGGCAATTTAAAGTTTCCTTTCCTCCAGCGACGATAACGAAGAAAATCCTGTTCTAATGGACTCGTTTTGTAGCTGTAAAATTAAATAACCATGTGAAATTTAATTCAATCGCGTCTTTCGTTTTGGTATAGTCATACGCTTAATTCTCCTTCTATAAGTGCTTTTCAATATCTCACAAAAATGACTCCATTTACTGCCGAATTTTTGAAATTGCTGCGCTATAATTGCAAAATATGCACTCTTGTGAACTGTAATCCTGTTTTATTTGACACCAATAATAACCGACTTTCAAGTTATATCGTATTACAGAGAAAACGATCTTTGCAGCTACAGTATATCTTGTCGATTCTATACGGCGGCATGATGACGTATAACTTGTATTTTAAATCCCTCGAGATGTCAGCCAAACTACTGGGTTTTGTGCCTTGGCTGATGTATTTTTCCCTGTCATTTGCACTTTGGAATTTCAATTTGGAAAATACACAAATCCAAGTGCTAAATTCTTTCCTGGAATTTGAATCGAATATCAATAAAGGTCGGCAGACGATATTAATAAAGCTGAGAAACAGGTCATACCCGAATTTTGTGAAATATATGAAACTGTTGGTATTCTCGATGGAATTGTCGTCAGTAGTTGTGCCCATACTTCAATTTGTAATGTTAACATATTTGCCATGCACGCCGCCATTTCTGATTTCTATGATACCCGGCTTTTGTGGGGATAAGCGTCAGGATATCACGGGAAGGGTACTGATTCAGATTCTGGTTCATGTATTGGAATCCGTAGTACAATTGCAACTCTATCTGTCTGCGGCTTCAATGATTTCCTACTCATTGTTTGTCGGCTGTACCTGTGTGCTATGCTACTTGTCAGATTTCATGAGGTGGCTAGCGATTCGTGCTAATTAGTTAGATAATTTTAGGTGAATTAATAATATTATTCTTTTTTTAAACAGTGCAATTCAGACCATCAAAAAAGATGACGTCGAAGAATGCATACAATTTTACAGAATCATACAATTGATTGAACGCCTGATGAATACATTCCTCTCCAAGCGGACAGTTCCCGGTGTATTATTCTGTTCAATCGGAGTTCAAGTAGTTGCCTGGTTTGTTTGTGTGAAACTGCATGACGAAATCCCTCGTGCTGGACTTTTAATGTTTTCCCTATTTGCGTTGGATGCCATTATTGTAAATATTCTAGTCTAGACCTTCGCTGCACTAGTAAATCAAAGGTCGATAGCAGTCTTGCAGTCATTGAGGATTCGATCAAGCCACCGAAATAAAAGACTCATAAGAAGCTGTTCTTGTCTGAAGATACAGTTTGGGTCTAATTTTGTGGATCGTAGAACACCAATTGTAATTCAAGACTTTGCTTGGGAACAAACTGCGAATCTCATATTAATCAGGTCTGGCGGCATATAACAATAGCAAGTCACTGGGTGGCGACACAGCTACATTCGCCTAGATTTGAGAACTAATGTAGCATCAATAGTTAGAGTAGATTGAGATCAATATATATATATAAACTGTTTCCAGTTTGAATTGTAATTAATAAAATAAATAATTTATTAATAATGTGAATACACGGATATTGGTGGAATTCGAAGAGAAGGGTTTTATTATTGAGCTTTCAAGTGAAAGTCTACACTCATTATCAAGATCTTACATCGATAATATAAGTAATCTATGCCATACTCTATTTTGTTGATACAATGCCCCAGGAACAACGAAAGTCCTTTTCATATATTTCCAATGTCATTGTCTGACATGGCAAGTAGCCAGCGTTGGGTAGCCAGGGTTGGTGAGGTTGTTGCTTCAGTTTATAAACCACTGCAAATTAAGCAGTTATGACCCAACCGAAGAGCTGGGATGCGTGACTCGGTTTCGGGACCAGTGATATATGATCACCACTTTGTTAACCCCATGCTATGGGAGAAGCTATTAGCTCTGTCAGTGGTCTTGTGATTGTGAGATCGCTTAACAAATCTGTTGAGTGGATTTGAGCTTATCACCATTGTGCATACAGCATCTGTTAATGGTATTGATATATTGAACATGGAATATGTCTAATAATGATGTCCGCTCAAACAAAACCTTATACGTGGAATTAAAGGCAATTATAAAATTGTGACAATGACATATTGAACACCCTATAGGTGCAAGGTTACATACATACGTCGACGGCCTGTCGTTCGGTGAAAAAGGAAAATTGTCCATGGACACGACTCACGAGGAAAGCTTTTTTGGTGCCCGGAGCTCCCAGCATAACCACTATATACATTCGACGTATTTTTTAATTCTAGTCCGGCGATATGTCAAAATTTAGGTGTAAAAATGACATTTGGACACGTGGTGACGATTTTTCTGACGCGCGGAACGGTCATGTTCTCAATAGTGTAGGCATACTTTTCACCCCGCGCCCCTCGCTCATCTCGCTTCTGAAATCTCAACCCATTTATTAAGACCTTAAATTTTGAAAAAAAATATCTGAAATTTCTAAAAAATTGAATTTTGAACACAATCCTGAAATTTGGAAAATTATACAATTTTTGAAAAAAAAAATACAGAAGTTTATTCAGAAATTCAAAATTTTTCAAAAATTCAAAATTTTGAAAAGTTTGGATGCTGGGATCTTTGAAAGTTTGAGAAAATTTTTGAAATTTTGAACAAAATTTTGAAATTTTGAAAAATTCTGAAAAAACTTCTGTATTTTTTTTCAAAAACTGTACAATTTTCCAAATTTCAGGATTGTGTTCAAAATTCAATTTTTTCGAAATTTCAGATATCTTTTCAAAATTTCAGGTCGTGAGTAAATGGGTTGAGATTTCAGAAGCGAGATGAGCCTGGGGCGTGAGGTGAAAAGTATGCCTACGCTATTGAAAGCATGGGCGAAAGTGACCGTTCCGCGCGTCAGAAAAATCGTCACCACGTGTCCAAATGTCATTTTTAGCCCGAGCCAGGGCTTATGTACCCGTTATGTCTGTCTGTCTGTCTGTCTCTCTGTCCGTCCGTCTGTCTTCGCGATAACTCTTTAAACTCAACCGATCGACTTGAAATTTTTATCACATCTATATCGACCCAAAAGACAAATAAGGTTCCAGGATGAGCCAAATCGGTCAAGTGGTTGACCGGTGGGGGTCATGTAAGTGGTGGGGTTATTATGCGTCAAATTTTCAAAATAGTCGTAGAAAGCTGAAATTTGGTACATAGGTAACTAATGGCTTCTAATGAAAATATATGAAGTGAATTTGCGAAAATTTTTATCTGGAGGGACCCTATGGGGTCACCCAAACTGATTTTTAAAAATCGTCCAATTAAGCCGAAATTTGGTATGGAAGTCGATAACAGCTTATAATGGGAGTTTATGATGTACAATTTTGAAAATTTTGACCCAGACGTACCCTGTGAGGTGACCCATAGTGATTTTGTAAAATCACTCAATTAAGCTGAATTTTGGCATAGAGGTTGGTAATGAGTTCTAATGAAAGAAAACGAAGTGAAATTGGAAAACAAATTCAGGTGGAGGGACCCTATGGGGCTACCCATAGCGATTTTTAAAAATCGTCTAATCAAGCTAAAACTTCACATGGAGATTTCTGACCAACCCTGGCTCTGGCTAAGCAAAGATGTACTAGATAGATAGATAATTTATTCCTCAGATTGATATAGCCAAAGCCTTTACAATCAAATAATTAGTTATATATAACAACATGAGTCTCAGTAATTAATTATAGTGTCATCGTATTCCAACAATTTTACTTCTAATATCTATAGCTCTACATACAAACAGATAAATATTTTTAATTTGAGATGCATTCAAGTCTACAAAAAAGTTGTAATAGTCATTCGTTTCACAGGGTTGTTCATAGTCTTTCATATACTCTAATCTAAACATGCCATACTTGGGACACTCAAACATGAAATGATGCAAATTTTCAACTTTTCCAGTTGAGCAGCATTTACATAATGAATCATTATTAATATCATAAAAAGTTTCCAATTCAAGTAAGTTAACTTTGTGAATTTTAGACATACATGCTCTTAATTGAGTAATTGTACATATCTGATTCCAACTAATTGGCAGGTTAAGGTATGCCTCTCTTCTCCAATGCGTTCTTATCTTACAATAGTTTTTCATTGATGTACTACACTGCATGGCTGATACATTTTTGTTGGAGTCCTCATCAAAAAGCCGTGATACATATAATTTTAACTTATTTGTAGGTACTGATAATGCTTCCTTAACTCCCCATTTAGTCAGTAAATTGTCTACAGTTTTATACCAGTTATGCTTTATCTTTGTATTTGTACTCATCATTTGTAACGATAAATAACACTGTCTAATTAAACTATTCTCTGGTTTACTCATAATTCTTGCATTAAAGTACATTATATTTTTTACTAATGTAGAGTCAAGGGAGTGTACACATGCTTCAATACGAAGGAACCAGTTTGGAGTTTTTTGAGGCAGTTGAAATAATCTTCTTAAAAACTTGGTTTGTAGAATATTCAATTTATCTACGTGCTCCACTCCCCATATAGTAGCACAGTACATAACTAGAGACCTGACCAAGCTATCAAAAAGTTTCATTCTACTGTCTAATGTTTTAATCTTACTTCGATAAAATATTGAAAACAAATTATTCACTCCAGCATTAGCTTTACTAAGGAAATGTTTACAAGTTTTACTGTGATCAAGATTATCATAAAAAGGTACACCCAAGTATGTGTATGTATTGACAATTTCTATATCATTATCATTATCCCACATGAATTTTGGTTTACATATTTTGTGTCGCCCACTTCTAAACATAACAATTTTTGTTTTGGATAAATTTACAATCAGATCATTCTCTTTAAAGAAATTCTTAATTATGTTAATTTTTAAATTAAGGTTAGCAAAGTTTGTAGCAAGAATAACAATGTCATCAGCGAATAAGAGCATATGTATATCTTTACTAGCCATCCTTAATGCATCAATTCCAGATCTATGAAATATATTAACAATATCTTCAATGAAAATTGTGAACAATTTGGGAGATAACGTTTCTCCCTGAAGTACTGACTTGTAGATAGGAAAATAATTACTCTCGCCATACAATGAACGTACCTTTGCTTTTGCATTTGAATAAATACATTTTATGATGTTGATAAACTTTGTACTTAATTTTATACTCTCTAACTTAGTCCATAACTTATCGTGTTTAATGGTATCAAAAGCCGAAGATAAATCTAAGAATAAAGCGTACAATACATTTTTCTTACTCTTACAATGCTTCTGAATAACAGAATTAAGAATAAAGACGTGCTCTTCACATCCAGTCCCTTTTTTATATGCAGCTTGGTAATCAGAAATTATCTTATTTTTCTCGCACCATACATTTAAAGCAAAGATGTACTAGAGGTTATTACACCTAAATTTTGACACATCGCCGCACTAGAATTAAAAAATACGTCGAATGTATATAGTGGTTATGCTGGGAGCTCCGGGCAACAAAAAGGTTTTCCTCGTCAGTCACGGGAACATCAACGGTTAGTTAGTGGCTTATCATTACAGTACTTAATCAAACAATGTATTTATGTATATTATATTACTCTAAATATGCAAATTAACCAAGCAACCACGCTTTTCCATAAATAACCCGCATGACTACGGCATGATCTTAAACAATGACTTTTAAGTTAAATTTGCAAAGTAGATACAGATGTACACGCATACATTGGATGCAGGCAAATTTTATTATGCAAATTCAAAAGCGGGCAATCATACATTGTATGCATGCATATTTGAATTTACATGCACACGGTGTTTGGGGAGAAGACTGAGGACCTAGTCACGTTGTCCTCCCGCCTCCGTGACCTCACCTCACACTCCGCTTTCTACCTCTTGCGGGCCTCCATCTCCACTCCCCGCCTCATCTACTTTCTCCGGTGCGCCCCCTCCTCGACTATGAAGGACCTCCTCCAGGGGTGCGACAACACCCTCAAGTTCGCCCTGGAGTCCACTCTTAATTGTGACCTTTCGCCTGACGCCTGGCTCCAGTCATCACTGCCGGTGAAGATGGGAGGCCTGGGGGTAAGGAATGCTGTTGACACGGCGATGCCGTGCTTTATCGCGTCGTGCCACAGCACCTTACCCCTAGTGTCCTCCCTCATCCCAAAGGAGATCATCGCCTCTGACACCACCCTGGAGACAGCGGAGCGGGAATGGGTCACTGCAGCAGTGGGAGAGGAGAAGCCGGCGGAAACTCTACGTGCCGCCCAATCTGCGTGGGAATGCCCCCTTCACGAACTCGCTATCGCCAAGCTCCAGGAGCGGGCAACGGAGCCTGAAGACAGGGCCCGCCTCCTCGCCCAGTTCAACCGCACACAGGGGCCTGGCTCAACACCCTCCCCTCACCCCAATTAGGAACACATCTCCCTAATCAGGATTTCCGTGTCGCCACTGCACTCCGCCTGGGATGTGATATCTGCGTTCCCCACAAATGTCCCTGCGGGGAACAAATCACCCCCAAAGGCTACCACGGCCTCAATTGTCCGAAGAGTGCGGGGCGCCACTCCCGACACTCCACAGCAAATGACGTCATCACCCGTGCACTCCGGTCCGCAGAAGTATCCTGCATCAAAAACCGCCCGGCTGCGCAAGAGCCGACGGGAAACGCCCGGACGGGCTGACCATCGTCCCATGGACCCGCGGAAGATCCTTAGTTTGGGAGTTAACCTGCGCGGACACATTCGCACCATCCTACCTCCCATCCACATCACAACGTCCAGGCGCGGCCGCGGAGATAGCCCAGGAATAAAAGAACAAAAAATTTGTGAATGGGGGTAAGTGAAAACCTGGGTAACTTTTCAGGTTACCCTGCTATCTGAATACGGCCACGGGTGTTCCTTGTTAGTTCAGGTTAATTCAAGTAACAGCTAGATCGAAAATACTCGTGGAGATATCTTCTTTGCCTATGCCATTATTTTCATGTATATTAATTACTGAAAATTTTGTCAATAATCACAATTGCTCAAAACATTTCTTAACGCCTTGGTTTTTTGGACTAACCATCAACATTTTGCGGCAAAGTTAAATTAACGTGTAAAGTTTTCGTTTATTCTCAGGGTTCCATATTTAATAACAGTCACAGTGACAGTTTGGAATTTAAAACAATCCGATCAAGAGTAAAAAAAACCATCACGTATATTCATTCATTATATTTATTTAGCAACTCGTCTTTTTTGTTGTTTTCGTTCCCTTATCAATAAAAATGTGATATTTAGCCTTCGTAAACTCATGCTCTGTTAAAGGTTCCAATTCAATAGACTTATCGGTATGCACTTGCTGCAAATTAAGATTTTGTTCCCTTGCTGTTTTTGTTAGGCGGAAAAAATCTAAAAATAAACACTAGTTAAATATTTATAGAAAAAACCAAGGAATAAAAAATACAAAAAATATTGTGCTTACAAAAAATAAAGAATGTTTTCGGATTATTAATAAAGGCAGCATGCTTATATCCATTCGTAGATCTCCCAGACCAATTCATTCCCTCTTGTTCGATCGGTTCAAATAGTTTGTTTAATAAAGACCTACAACCAACTAGCCAGTCCTCTTCAAATATGGATGCCATTTTTATTATATCTTCATTTTTTAAAAGCTGAAAAAGCAAAAAGAATAACATGTTCATTTTAAAGTTCCGGGTTCTGCCATGACTTTTAACATTTATTACGGATTTATAAAAATATACGAATTTATGTGCGAGAATATTTTCCTACCATTTGTGGTCTTTCTTGACTATTCATGTACTCATCATCTGTCCAAACTCGGAGACCTCCGTCTATCTCCAAGCTTAGTTCTGATTGATCTTTTTCAAATACAACAACCTCACAAGAAGAGGATGACACGTGTGGAACCCAAGCAATTAATTCAAAACTCGGAATAATTGAACTTGAATTGGTCAAGTCAGTAGCATCAAGCCAATTTGGACAGCCATTATACAGGGACTCGATATCACAGGAATTCGGAGATAGAATATGGGGCGATTGCAAAAGTGTGGACTCTACAATTTCAGTAGTAGTAAGACGTTCCACATCGTTTGGTGATTGGGATCATGTGGAGATGACAACGGCCTCATGACGGGAACCAAAAATACTTGTTTCCAACTGATTTATCTCCGCTTCAGTTAGGAAGGCTCGCTCTCCTGACTTTGCCGAGTCAATAAACATCTTTGCTGGCTGTCCCCTCATGTGACCTGCGCATTCTAAACATATTTTGGGGAAGAGCATTACCCTTGTCTACTTGTAACTTCTTGGTTTACTAAACTTACGATAAGTTATGAGTTTTAAGGTGGGCGAGGTGCGCCATTCACGGGTGTATTCGTTACCTAAATCATTTTCGATGGATGTCATCACCACATTTGTCACCTCGGCAATATCACTTTGTGACAGGTAAGCGTTACAGTAATCTTTAGAATTAATTGAAACTCCTCCCTATATAGATAGGGGATTTATGACACCCATTAAGTTTAGCATTTCAAATTATTGTGATAACACTTACAACAAATAGGTATCTATCCTCATGAAAGGCTCGTATTAAGTACTCAAAAATTTCTATGGAGTTTTTAAAGAGCGACGTTTCCAAAGCCTCGAGATAAATTTCTTGGAATTTTGAGAGTATATCTTTTGAGAGGGCGTCTTTTGGACATGAAGCATCTTCCGACTCCTCCGGCTTGCCAGTTTTATATTCATTCTATATAAATTACAAGAAATAATTTACAGGTATATGCGTAATATATTTGTTGGTGGTTTATCCACCATCCTATTTTATTAATAATAAAAAAGGATCAACATATTATGTCGTCGAAAATGTGGCCGAGAAGTTATCGGACGCCCGTCTTACTCCAATTAGGCTTCCATAAGATACGAAAGGGCTTATGGATCAATTGCGACTGGCGATTTGCTCATGACGACATAACATGTTGACTTCCGTAATAATTGCTGCGTACCAGTTTAAATTTATCAATTAAATTTGACACCCTTTTACGTTCCTCCTTAGCTTCTTGGGTAGGCCACAGCATTGCATCCGCAATGTTTGCAGGAGATAGACAGAAGTCATTGGCTTTGTTAATGGTCAATCCGACCCCATCTTTGGTGTAAGTCTATCATTAGAAATATGGCTTTAGATTTTATTTATTTGAGTTCTTACTTAAAATGCCATATTTCTTATAGGCAGGAACTCCATCCGTTCCATTACAGTCGGCACTTGTAAGAATTTCCTGACACAAAAGTGCTGTACATTTCTCTGTATTGTATGTAAGGCAGGCCGTGGCCCACGTATCTCGGGAAACAATGACTTCTTCGGTGTACTTGGCCTTATACAGTACCTGTAAAATACAAAGTTTTGTAATGTGAGTAGGGTTGTCCCGTACACAAAGTTGCTGGAATTTTGGAAATTTTGAGATTCCCAAAACTCCTAATTTTCCGGGAAAATGAACAAGATTTGAGGTAAATTTGGAAATATATGCAATATTCCATATTGTGAATGTTCCCAAAACTCATAATATTCCGGGAATTTATTCACAGGAAGCCGGAAACGCACAACCCTAAATGTGATAATTTAAGTTTGAGGTTATGGGATGAAACGTGAACATTACATGTAGTATCATATCAATAATAGTAATGTTGTTAACCATGTACGAGGGGCTATCAATAAGTATTGCGAATCTACCCCTCAAATATAAGATTTTCCCCATTCATTCCTGATACATCCTGTTGATTGTGTTCCAAAAATCCTGAGATTCCTATATCTCATTCTTTCACAAAGTTTGAATAAAGTCAGAAATCGTGAGCAAGAATGGAAATTCGGAAAATCAGTTTTTCCTTACGGTTTTTTGCATTGCAAGGCGAATCCGCAACAGAATTTTTTGACATCGCAAAAATTCATCGCAAAAACAACAATGTCTGAAAGGAAGATGATAGCCACTATTTTTTGGAATCCCCATGGAGTCCTGCATACAGATTTTATTCCAAAACGAAGCTCAATGAATGTTTATCATTGTCTAGAAGTACTGGATGAATTGCGCGACCATGTCAAAAATAAGGCAAGAAAATAATTTAAAAGTTGATTTTTTTGTTTAACGACAAAAATTTGTCTCCCACTGCTAAGATTGCCAAACTGCCCTGGACCGATCTGCATTCTGGCTAGTTGACCACCCACCATATGCTACCGATCTGACACCCAGTTACTTTTATCCATTCTCACATATTAAAAAAATAATCCGGGGAAGAAGATTTGAGAGTGATGACGGGGTTATCTCGTGCGAGCGTTTTTTACCAAATAACTTCACTAAATAATTTTTTGTGAAGGAATGAAACAACTTATCAACAGTGGTGAAAGTGGACTTGAATTGGGAGAGCATTATGTTCAAAAGTCACAAAATTAATGGAAACAAATGACCTTCGTGATATATTAGTATTTGTATTACTTATTGATTGCCCCTCGTATGTACTAAGACGAGAATGAGCATGATTTATTCCCAATGAGCTTGACCCAGCTAACTATACACGTCAGATGATGTCAACGATGCTGAAATACTTTTGATGTGTCCATTTTAAAAGATTCTTATGGAGACTTATGGAGTAGGCCCTATTCAGTGGGATAGTCTCTTTGACATATTTGCATCACCCCGTAATTATATTTGTTATAAGGGTTTACTTATAACCTTGGATTTTAGAAACAACTTACAATTGGCACCGTCTGTAGCGTCCTGAAGGCATATTTAGTAAAACTTGTTAATTTTGGCAAGTTCATTTTCATGCGATGAAAACGTTGCGTTGATTATTGCCGCGATTGCTTCCTTTTCTGTAAATTTTGAGAAACTATATTAATGAAATAGTATTGATTGTACTTCATTTGTTCTAGTTCTTATTCAATTGATATTCATCATTACATACATACGTATGTACATATTTCATAAAAAGATGACTAGACAGGAGTCGTATAATATGAGGCCCTAACTTTAGAAAAATTTCATAACAAAAATTCCTAGAAAAGAATTGTATTTCATTTCGAAGATGTATGCATATTGTCAGATCCTGCGAAATAATACCATTCAATCATACAGTAAGCTTTTGACAATTATATAGTTGTCATTAAAGATTAGTGGTACTCCTGCTTGAGCAGATGTACATTGAATCCAGGGACCAAAAGGCGTGTCCTATAAACAGTAATGTATCTGGTAGTCGCATACAAATAGTAACGTTAAAGATACAAATACAGAGCCAGCATTATGATTAATAATCATACATCGGTTATTTATTTATTATCGACTCTTTCAATTTGCACCGGGTCTCGGTGAAACTTGACAGGGGTCTTTATGGTCATGAATAGGTCATAATGGCGAAAAAAATTTTCAATGGTTTTAATTTTTTGGAGTTTTAGAAAATGTAAATATTTGGACGATTTTTAGAAGAAATATTTTTTACTCGAAATAATAGACTAAATTCCCGTTTAGTGCCATTTAAAATTGAAAATTATGCTCATCATACAAATAATTACAAATATTGTGAAATTTGCTATGAAAATTACATTTTCACAAATCATTGGATTACGAATCCGAGAATTCTAAGACTTTTATCAAATACTCCCAAATTTTTTTTAATCAATCCATATTTCCGAGCACTTGCCAACTAACTTAAGAAAACATCACACCCCAATCAGTCGAGCTTCATTCATTCCGTATTTCAGAAATTTAAAAAAAAATTCAAAATTTTTTGAAATTTTTTTAGATTAACCTGATAAAATTAGACTTTTCTGAAACGTCCAAAAATGCAATAACCTGGTGACCGACAAAACCGGTCCACACTGCTATAATCTAACCCAAATATATCTTTTAGGCGATAGAGGACCAAAAATTACTGCAGAAAATCTGGAAATGGAATTTGTTTGTCATTTTGAGCTTTAAGTAGTAAGATATAGACGTTAATATGAATTTGGAAAAAAATATTTAAGAAAATATTTTCGGGTTTTTAATAAAAATATAAAACAATTTTTTTCTGGTTTGATAGTAAATAAATGTCCGAAGTCTGATAATAATACTGCTGAATCAACACAATGTAGCAAATCAATGTTTGTCAAACATTAATAACTCGACCAGATCAATGTATTTGAAAATGACATACATATTGAAACGTAGAACTTACTCTGGTCCAGTATTTTGAATTTTTTGGTTGGTAGCATATTGATGTTCTAGATGCTCGCGGGCCGTATTATTTCAATATCTTGCGTTTTGGTGTTTGTTGTTTTACTTCACGGTGAACCCTACACCTCCACCTAACTCTCAATATATCTAGTAATTGGTAGTGACTGTTTCTTTGGAATCGCAAATTATCAAGCACGTCGTAACACAACTTAATTATGACCAACTTGAAAACTATGTAAGAAACTTGGCACAACTGAAATTCGTTCTGAATCAATTCAAAATCGTAAAGAAATCGGTATTCCAAACATCTACTCCACCGATAACCCACACAAATCGGAATTTTTCGGTAAAAAATATTTAAATGAACTGCATCGGATTTTTGTAAGGACTAAATACATGTTTAAAATACACGGCCCTCTAATGCCCCTGTTACACTATCATGATCAAATGAATAGAGTTAACTCCAGAGTTTATTACGATCACAGGTATTGTGGCTACACTGCAAAACTTAACAATGGTTAGATGGAATGATTATTTTTCGGCGGGAAACAAACCAGTCTCATGTCAGAAAATGACAAATTAAGCTTTAAAATAATAATTTCTTATTAGTTATTATAAATGGAAGGTCAATTTGCACTACAAGCAATTAATTTTGCATGGAATTTTATTAGCAGTAATCAATATACAGTGCCAAATTTATTAATCAGATGACGACTGAAATGAAGGATGAGACTTGGCGCCCTTTTTTTCAGCGTAAAACTCTGCCACAGTGTAGCCAGAGTAGCTGATTAATCACTCATTTGGATGATTAACTAGTAAAGTTTCACTAGTAAAACGCTATCACTATAATTTACCCGGGTTTGCGTTACCCTTACAATGCAAGTGTAGCTGACCCAATGCAAATAGATAGATTGCTAGTTAATCATCATTTTTGATCATGATAGTGTAACAGGGGCATAAGAGGCGATATTTAACATATCGTTAAATGTATCATGATTGGATATATGCCCATCTGTACATACGTGCTTTGTCTTTATTAACATACGTATATATGTATGTACATACGTCTATGTTGCTCATGAGATTCATCGCATCGCATCATAATTATGTGATACTTACTATGCTGTGTGAAACTATGACGATTTACACACTAACTCCAATACACAAGAATTTGTCCATCTCTTCATGAATAAAAGTATTCATGTAACGTCTCATGAGAGCAAGCCTATGCATGTACGTACATACTTATATGTATACATATGTGTACAAATCTAACTCTAGATCGGACATACTTATATGTATACATATGCGTATAGAAGCCCATGGTTTCGGGTGGTATGTGTAGACATATGTATGTATGTCGCTGCGATTATGCCTATTACTTAATAAAGCAAGAACCTGTCTTTCTTTAGGAAGAGCTTCATTTCATGAGTGAGAGTGTTCATGAAATATTTCGTGTTCTCGTAATGGTAGAGACAGTATGCGTGTCAGATGGACCATGTGGGATGGGTTCATGAACACAAAGCGAATAGAGTTGTTATACAAATATGTTGGGAAGTGACTCCATTTATATATATATGTTGAACGTGTGGTAAATTATTCACTCCGTTCTTGCCAAAATATATTTTTTCAGTTTTGTCAATTAATTCTCCTTTCTACACTTCATAATTTTCGGTAAACAAATACCACATTTTTTTTATACATTGTATAAACAGGAATTTGATAGAGTTTGAATTTTAGAAATTCTCCGTGGAATTTATTGCCCTCATAATAATTTAGGACTATATTCTTATAAACAGGTGGTGCCCATCAATTGAAATGAACACGGACCGGAAACGTCGAAAGGATCGAGATTTGCAAGACCTACCAGAAAAAGCTAAACGGTTTTTGGAAAAATATCCTGGCATTGTGGCGGCGTGCAGGACGTTACATTTAAAGGAGAGTAGGGAAAGTTCCGTGTCTTGTAGTACTGGGGAGGATCATGTCATTTATTTCCAGCCTTTCATGGAGGAAGCGATGGTTTGTTACAAATAAATGGAAGTATAAAATAAATATTTTATGAAAATCTTTATACAAGCAGATATTGGAGGGTAAGGTTGAGATATTAACGACCCACTGGGCTCAGGCCTTTCTTCAGTTTCCATTATCAAAGATTGCTGAGGTACTTTGTTGCGCTATATTTTCGCGGGTAGATTTAATCCAAAGGGACAAAGTTGACAGGGTCGATCAGTTACCAAGCATTAAAAGGGTGGCCATTCTGAGTAATTAGTTATAGTTTGATACCAATTAATTAATTTCCATATTGTTAAAAATATTAATAATTTACTAGGAGCAGCGAAATGGATGCTAACTAAAAATCAGAATCCTTGGTCCTATGAACCAACTGAATGGCCAAATAAAGAAGAAACGGTTATAATTGAGTCAACTTTTCAGACATTTAAGTCTGTAAGTGTCTAAAAAAAATTTATCATGTATATTTTAATATTAAATTGATCCCAAATTTACTAATAGGTTTATCACGAGGATCAATATGTCAGTTTGCCAACCATTTTAAAGGTTGACAGATCTAATGCAATATCCAGTGAGTCCTCCAACTCTAAAGTTCAGCAAGGTTCCGTAACCATGGTAACCGAGACGAATGATAGCCCGACAGTTAACCCGTTTGATCCTAGCAGTGTGGACGACGCTATGGAAAAAACATTCCGTCAGCTTGACTATAGTAAAACTTTTACCAGAATAATCCAGCTGGACAAATTGGGTTTAATCCCGTCCCTCGGAAATTATGCACAAACTGTGCAAGCACTCACAAAACTCACGATCCCACATAACACGGACTACTTTGTGGTACAATACTACACTGGTGAGTTCAATAACAAATTAACAATATTAATTTTTTAAGGATGCCGTTCAATTTTCGGCGAAACGCTGGAAGGCAGCCAAACTGTGCGGGACAAGTATTGAAAAATGTGCGGTCAAACTTTTCGGTAAATATTGGCGTTTACATTGCCTAAATTCGGGAGGACAATTATTCAACTTTGAGGATGTCTGCCCTGTTAAACGGTTAGCCATTTATCGTACGTGATCAACCTTACTTGATTAGTTCTACTTTTGAAAATCAACAATAGTTTGTTATTACACTGTACATAGCGAGGACTAAAATCGTGATCAACGGAGTTACTATGGTAACTCTTGATTTTTTTGATGATGATTAAGGTTTTCTCGCTAAACCGGAAAAAATGGGACACCCTATATTTACGAAAACATTTTTACATCGGTGCATAAATCCACACATCCATGCTCATGCTGTATATCGGTTTTTGCCTTATTTTCCTTTGGTAATATATAAAATTTAACACCCAATTGTCATCATATCATTATCATTAAGTAGAGCTGCCTTACCGTACGAACTCCGCTAGTTACGATTTGTTTGCAACTTCTTAAAATTGTAAGCATACTTTCTTTAACAGGTGCCGCAAAGTTTTTAACTGTACACACGACCGATTTAAATGTCACGTTTGACTCAGCCATACCGGAACATAACATTTTCCCTACGGAACAAGAAATCCATCAAATCTCGACTACCATCACGCAAACTTATTCTGGTCGCGAAGCCATGCTGGATCATTCTTCTATTAAAGATGTATATCCCAATTCTGAAAAAACTTGGAAACCATCCGGTCACCTCATCCCTCAGCGAATGATTGGAAAGGGATCCTTTGGCTCTGTATGGGCCGCCGAAGGACAGGATAAACAAATGTTTGCCATCAAAGTAATAACTCAATTTAAGGAGCCACTAATTTGCCAAATCAAACAAGACACCCTGATAAATAACATTTCCACTTATTCAAATCCGAACGTGGTCCGATATTACGAGTTCTGGACAGAACCCGGTGAAAAGAGTATGCCTGGAGACGAGGCCACCTCTGCATTGCTATACATGCAGGGGCTTGTTGCATAAAGATAATATTGACAAAATGTCATGACAATTTCCAAAATTGTCATGATTTCCGTTGCATATAATTGACATTGACAATTGACAGCGACAGGAGATTTTTGGCTGTCATGACATAAAATTGTCAGAATAATTTCAAAGGTTTGTTGCATAGAATTTAACTTGACAAAAACTTGTAAAATTGTCAGAAAAATTCGACAGGACTATTTTCCTCTGTCAAATCTTATTTCATCGTTGTTACTCTTAATAAATTAATGCAAATCGTATCTTTTTTAAACTGCATTATATTACTTAATTAATGAGAAATTTATACTCTTATTGGTTTAGTTGATGCATTTAAAAAAAATCCAATTTTAACCGGTGGGGGTCATATAGGTCGGGTAGGGTCATTGATGCAGAATTCGAAAAAGTCGTAGAAGGCTGAAATTTGGCACAATGACCCCAATGGAGGTATAAATTCGGAATATAGAGTAAAACTTCAACATTTTATGACTGAAGGGACTATAGGGTGATCCCCACCGATTTTCAAAAATTTTCTTAAATAGCTGAAATTTGGCACGAGATCCCTAAATTAGGGTTACGATTGGTAAAAACCAAGTTTACCAGGGCGGTGGGAAAAAGTGCCCTTTTCCCATTTTTACCATCCACCCAAAATAGGTGGGAAATGGGATAAATGGGAAAAACTGGAAAAACGCTGTTTTTGGGGGTGATTCAAAACAACTTTTTTAAAACTTAATATTTTCAAAACCCAAATTTATAGTCGTGTTCTCCATTAAATTCTGAGAAAAAAAGTGGGTAATACGGTTGAATTCGGATAATTTTAAAAATTCACATGTATTCTTATGAGAAATCAGCAAAACAATCAAAACTGTTCAAAAGTGGCCGTGTGCCGTGTCGTATATCAAAATTTTCGGAATTTCATGGAGATTACGAATATGCAAAAATATTCCGAAAATACTAATTATTAAAGAAGTTAGGTTTTTTCATAACTAAATGCATGGAAAGCTGATTTTTCCCGTTTTGGACGGTAAAAACCACTTTTTCCCATTTTCCACCTGTCCTGGGAAAAAATAGTTTTGGACGGGAAAAACGAAACCCTATAATGTAAGAATATGAAGCTAAATTCAAGAATATTTTTCTCATAAGGCTCAAACAGTGCGAAACACTCTGAATTTTGAAATCAATTTTGCATACATGAGAAAATTATTGACGAAAGTTTTGTCAAAAGTAGAGAATACTCGTCCGATAACGGAAGAATGCTCTGAGAAGTAACTTACGTATGCGAATGATGCATAGTAAGATTCTGGCCAAAGTGGATAATTCTATAATTATATTCACACAATTTTCTTGTTGTCAAGGGATATGGTGACAGGTACCTGTCAAACTTTGACAGAGGTCAAATTCTTGTCAAACTGTCAATGAATTTTATATGAAACAGCAATAAATTGTAATTGTCGTTGTCGCCCTGTAATTGTCGCCCTGTCAACTGTCATTGTAACACTTTTATGCAACAGGCCCCAGATGGAATTATGCGATGGTGATCTTGCTCAATTTTTAGGGAAGGAAAAGCATCAGATTAGTGTTCCACTTAAAGCGGATATTATTCGACAAATATCTGCCGGGCTAGATTATCTACATACGACGGTCCAAATTATCCACGGGGATTTAAAACCTCTCAATATTTTCTATACTAGATTACAGGAGGACAGGGTAGTTTTTAAGATTGGTGATTTCGCTCTGTCTGGGAACTTTGGATGCAGGGATGACGTAGTGTCGGCACGTAACCTAGTGTCGACACCGCTATACCGAGCCCCAGAATTAGAGGTTGCAGGGGGACTGCAAAATTACACTTTCGCTTCGGACATTTATTCTTTAGGGTTAATATTTTGCGAGGTATTACACCACTTTGAGCGGGATGAGAAACGAAGTATATTTCATCATATAAAATACGATGGGGGACAAGGAGTTGAATCTTATTTGGCTGGTTTATTTAAGGAGCTAAATTTAAGTGAGGTGCAATTGTCAGGTGGGTCGATGGGTGGGATCGACCAACTCTTGGTGAGAATGCTAAGCCAAATAAGTAAACTGAGGCCGACATCTGGAGAGATTGTAGCAGTCTTGGAAACCAGCGATAAGTTGGAGGAGAATGCCGCGAAATTTATGTAAAAATGTACTACAAAATATATTATATTGTACTTCAATCTGCACATGCGTATTTAATAAAATTATATTGAGGTTGAATCTGGTAGTAACGAAAGGTTGATTTTTTGTTAACATTGGCAATATTTTACCATTTCTAATGTGACAAGAACACTTCGAATAATTTGAGAGCAGACAGCAGTAACTGTCCGTAACTTCACCCTAATGGTAATAAATTTATTACCATCGGTTACAAATTTGTTACAAATTGTTTATCATTGTTTCTCATAGGTTTCATTTATCAGCTACGTGGAAATAAATTTACTACCACTGGGTGACAAATTTATTATCAATATGGTACACTTACCACCGGTAGTACCGTTTATTAAGAATTATTTAGAGTTCACATTCTAACAAGATTTGTATTTAAGATTATCAGGACGGGGATACTATGCGATCTATTGCTTAGTGACACTTATAAAAATAATGTGTCGACAGAGGTACCAAATTCCGGTGTTCTACTACCACAGCATGTATAATTACGGCCAGGCAGGATTTAGGCTCTGTATAGTATGTTACCCTTCAGTAACATAAGTATGAATTATAACCAAACCGAGCCATGTATACTTTCCAATATAATCATGTCCTCAAATTATTAAACGTGAACGAATTGTCATTCCGGCAAAATTTAAGTTCGATCTAAAAATAATCAAACATTACATGTTGATCTAAACAATCTTGGCAAATATTAAATGCTGGAATTATATACTTATGTACAAACGTGCTTTTAACCGGCACGTTTTACCCCAACCAATCTCCTTCACCTCAATTTTAGGAACTCATCCAGCCGGAAAGACGTTGGACGCTGGAAATGTATTGCTTTTAAATTTTAGACCTTTTCTCCGAGGTTTTCATGGATAGGAGTTTTTCTGAGGTGAGGCGAAAGCCGGAAAGCGGGGCCCCTCACGGAACAATAAATATTTAAAAAAAACTCTCTTAGGTACGCACATGTAAAAGAATTAAACAGGATTTTCAAGACGCAATAAAATAATTGTGACTATGTTTTGCATCACCGCAAGGCCAAACAAATCAAGTAAGACTATAAGTGTAGCAAATATGTATATCGAAACCGTGTTCGATCCAGCCATCATTTTATTTATTATTGTCATCAGGTGCCATAAATAATCGAAGGTTTAAGTAAGCAATAGAAATATCTAGGTACCTTATATATCCATTCAGGAACATCTAAGAACAAAAAGAACTTAATTTGATTGATTTTTAGACGGATATATTAATTTATGCAAATTTTGTAATTGTATGCAATCTTGCGGTGATGCAAAAGCGTAGTCAAAATTATTTTGTTGCGTCTGGCAAATCTTGTTTAATTCTTTTATGTGCGCCTCACCTAAGAGATTTTTTTTTCAAAAAATATTTATTGCCACACTCATAGTTGCTTTTCCTAACCAAGAATAAAGATAATCAATAAAGACGACAACTCCTGGAACCATCGTCGGCACGGTCCTGTATGAGTCAACCTATACATGAAAATGTTCAGAATTCATGCTAAATAAGAATATTTGATTAGTTATGCTGTAATATGCAAATTAAAGAAGTTGTTTCAGCTCACCCGATATGTAATTGTACAAAAATCAACAAAAATTTCCAAAACCCAGCAAAAACTTGGGTTTTGCAATAAAAATCCCGGGATTTTCCGAACGTTGGTAACGGAGGGTCGGACATTAAGGTGTTTCACATCTTTGTAAATAAATATATAAACCTTGTAACATGGCATATTTAATTTAATTCACTGCTGATTTATTTATTCACATAGATATTTATTTATGTTTAATATACGTACATTATCCGAAAGACTAACAACGCGAAGCCGTGAAGTGGTACGCTAGGATTTTAATGGGACCAATTTTAGTTTCTTCACCAGAAAGAATAAGCGGACCCGTATTTTTGCTTTTTCGATAATGCGCGAATTTAAGCTCATGGACCTCACCTCACTAGGTAGTGAGATGAGGTCCATCACGTCATATCTCGTCTCACCGGCAAACCTACCCTCAACGGTCCTTCCTTCCTTCCTGAATAAGATGCAGGACTATGCCCACTCTAATCTCGTTACATGAATAAACTAATTTATTTAGGTTTCTTCACGAGGCTATCATGGACTCAGTTGCAAGAGTAGTGCGGGTCGTCATTCCCGACACGCCGCATCAAATGACGTGATTTTGAGGGCCCTACGTTCCGCCGGAGCACCCGCTATCAAAGAACCCGCAGGTTGCTCACGTCCAGATGGGAAACGTCCTGATGGACTGACTTTGGTCCCATGGGCGAGAGGAAAGCCCTTGGTGTGGGACTTTACGTGTACCGACACTTTTGCAAAATCCTATCTCCCACAAACAAGCATTCGTCAGGGTGCAGCAGCCGACAAGGCCGAAGATCGAAAAGCGAAGAAATATGAATTTCTGCACGACAGGTTCCACTTTGTTCCCGTAGCCGTTGAAACGACAGGAGTGTGGGGCAAGGAAGGCCTGTCCCTTATCAAGGATATTGGGTCAAGAATTACGACCCTTACTGAGGAGAAAAGAGCGACTGCGTTACTACTCCAACGAATGAGTATTGCTGTGCAACGGGGAAACGTCGCAGCGATTTTGGGATCTCTTCCAGCAGGAAAAGAGTTGGATGAGATTTATTTATTTTAATATATACGACTGATGATGACGGTATATTGCGATAATTTAGGTTATTTTTTTTAAATTTCTGATAGGGATGTATTTGTACAGCGCTGGTCGCTTAGCTTTTCCAGAATTATAATGTAAAATTCAACGAATCTCTGCGAATATTATTCTATACTCGAGTAAATAAAACATTTATTTATTGACATCTATTAATTGTCGGGGTTCATGAGAAATAGTGAATTTTATGAAGATAGTTTTTTATGAGATGTGAACTGTAAATGCACCTTGGCTTTGATAATGTGTTGCTTATGTGTGTATGTGTGAACTTTATGTACTGAGCGATTATTACGTGCACTTATGTATGTAACTGATGACTTTTGTGTGCGCGATTATATGTGAATAACTACGCTGAACACAATTGATTTAAATTTAATACGGAGTTTGACGTAATTGGTTTTATTTCCAATTTAGAGCAAGAGTATTACATACAACCTTTTGCATGAAATCTTACTCAATATATTTAACTAGGTTAATTAATAAGTTTCTTAGTCTCAATTTCTCTTAATCGAGGCAAAAATGAGACATGCAAATCATGCTGGTGCAAAACAGCATGGAACAACTTCCAAAATTTACGAACAGTTTTTACGAAGCGTTGAAGTGTTCTCGCGGGGCTCAACCACGGTCGTATTTATACCGCCGGTCGGACCGAAGTGGAAGTGGGTAGAATTCCCATTTGAATTTCTAAAAATAACTTTTCAAAACTACAGAAAAATCACATTCTTTGTATTCGTAATACATACGATTTTTATACTTTTTCGCATAACTTTTGTTCCGGCTGCACGCATTTGCATGACTTGCATTTACATACATACAGTAACGGTCAAGTATTAACAAAGACTGAAAGCGGTGAAAGTTTGCAGACGTATGTACACATGTACATATCAGCTTGCTTTTACAGTTGTGTGCATGGAAAAGTGAAAGCGCATTCTTTCTGCACTGTCAATGCACATACAATTCAAATTGCATCTATTTTGCATCCTAATGCAGACTGGATTAAACTGGATTGAACTAGATAAAACCAGCAATCACAGTTATACAAAATAACTAAGAATCTCACATATTGAGAATCTTAACATTAATCATATTCCTCAAAGGAATCCGAATCTTAAACCATGAATTTCAATTTTTGGAAAACTCTTTTAGAAAAGAGTTTAAAAGTTCCGAAATTTGTGATAAGTTTTCTACAAACTATAGCTTAATACCCATGACACGTCAAACAGACGTTTCAAATAGCGTATGTGTAAAGCTGTCATATATCCCGTGAGTGACTTACATATACATATGTAAGGTACTCACGGGCTATAGCCAACATGACAATAGGCATGTTGGCTATTGGTTCTTTTGACAATTTTCCAGAGTACATCATCTTACCATGAAATTGGTACCATGGCACCACTGAATTTCCTACTAACGCGAGCCTACCAATTTAAACGCATTACGTGCACTTTATGGGACATACTAGTAATTATATCAATTTACTCATCCATCAATTTTAGATAAGTGCTGGGACTGAATATGTAAAGCATGGCAAGTATCTCCCTCGTTGACAGTATAATTTGGTTCGTTGTTAGAAAACAAGGCAATTACATTCGCAGAACTTATAACTTGGCCGGTCTGTCCACTCAATTCAACAATCATGAGGATTTCCGAAATAAAAATTAATCATTTAAAATGATTCATTTTAAATAGCCCAGAAAAACAAAAAAGGCCTAATAGTTTACTCCACTTGGGTCAATGTAAGTTATAGTGAATTCGTATTGCACTTAACCATTATTATTTCAATTCAATAAAATTAGAGTTCTTTTCTGCGCAATCTACCCATCCATCAACCAATCTTGTTTATTTCGCCAACACCCAACTCAAATGTCAGTACTGGTATTTGAACCCGTTGATTATAAAGTCCATGGGAGAAGTCCAATCTGTTTTAATTAAAACCAATTAAGACTGATTTTATACTACGAAAAATATGGAGACTCGTGGCCTCTCAGCTTTGTGAACTGTCCAACTGACTTCGCATTGTCTATTTGTTGATCCACTGCCAACGTGATGCATAAATTTACTCCAGCTTTTATGAAGTTTTGAGTTGACACGGGACACTGGATCTCATGTATTGCGTAGGTAAATTGCTAACTCTTTTTTTACTTCTATCCAAAAATATCTATTGGTTTACTTTAGTAAGGAGGTGTAACTTATCCAACTTGAAGGTTATCCTAACCAATTGTCACGGCCATTTAAGAGAAAACTATTCACCCGTCGCACTAAGCAGGCCCTTGCCTCTGATTGTGACTTCGCAGTAGTGCAGTCTTTTTAAAACATCACTCGGACGCCCGCGTAAGTGGAAATTCCCAGATAATTGAGATGTTATTTTCTTGCAAAGTAGATTGAATATTTTTTTTTAATTTCTCATTCCCAGCTAACGAAATATGTATTGTTTTTTTAGCAGCAAGTCATGAGATTAACGTTGGAAAGGTTATGGACTCCTCAGCTTATTTTACTTGTTGTACAACACTTTGAGCTCGGAGGTGTCATATTTTCGTCGGCAGGTGAGGTGGTACGCCCCAGAAGGGACGCTGGCGTTGGCCTGTCAGCATTATCAACCGCTACATCAGTTGCTTCCTTCATTACTTCGTTCATCAAACAGGGGACCTGTGAAGGAGAAGGCTGCGCATGGAAAGGAAAATACATACGATTTTTATTCTTTGGAGCACTCGACGGTCAATACGATGAACCTCTTCCAACTGGATGGACTAGTAGGGACGAAAAGCTCAAAGTATGGGAAAATTCTCCGGAAAAAGCACATCTGGGATTAAAGCAAATTGATGTGGCATGGATAACTCCATTATTCTCTGAGAGGAGTAGCAGTAGATGGGGTTTCGATGGACCTCATTTGGTAACGTACAGAAAGGATAGGAATAGCTACAGTGCAAAAATGCACAAATTATGTCTTGATTATTTCCACGCTGCATGGATCAACATGACATTTATTTCTACTACACCGTGCGAGAAATACAGGAAGAAAGGGTGGTTCCTGAAAGTCCATGGCACTCATCCAGTAGATGTGAATGGGAGTCCTAGGTTCTTATTTTCCCTCCACAGTGAAGACGATGCTACAAAATTTCTCACTGTTAGAACTGCACACTACAACGATGCGGCTCGAGCGTTTGAGCATACAATTGAGGATATTGAATTTTCCAGGACAGTATACACTCCCCGAGTCTTTTTGACTCTGGAGAACTGCTCTGCATGCGGGGAGCAAAGTTTTTTTGTAGACGCTAATTATTTGGATCTTGTAGAGAAGCTGCATGCCAATGAGATATCATCCATAGCCCCACCCACCTACAAATTCAAGCAATGTATCAACAGCAGATATGAGTACCCCTACGAAGGTGTGCAAGGAATGAGAGAAAATACAATTAACGGCATAAAGGACCAACTACAGCCAACTAAATTGTCAAAGGATCAGTTGGTTTTAAGCATAACAAGTGGCGGCGAGGTATGCAAAAACGCATGCGCAAAAAATGGCTATAGTTATTTTTGGTGCGATTCAACGCATGGATGGGATTATTGTTCCCCGGAGATTGTGAACGATGTTAAAAGGTCGTACTCCATTTATGGAAATGCGTACTCCATTTATAAAAATTGAAAACATGTATTCTTAGAATTACGTACTTGAATTTCTAAAAATGTTTTTTCAAAATTTTTTGAAAATTCTAAAATTTTGCTGATATTTTAATTTTTCGAAATTCAAAAGCTGACAAAAAAATTTGACAATTTTTAAAATGCATTTTTAGAAATTCAAGTACGTAATTCTAAGAATACATGTTTTCAATTTTTTGAAATTGCGCCAAAATTCGAAAAGTTACAGCGTTTTGAAAACCCGAGGTTTTGGCTAAAAAAATTTTTTTAAATCCCGCCACGCGGTCAAACTCGCGCATTAAGAAAAGTGCAAAACCAAACGTTGGTAAGGTTGACCTGCACGACCAAATAAAATTGGTCCGGTCGAAATCGGAGTGTAGCCGCTGACACATCCGCATTGTAAGTATGACCACATTGTTTAAGGTTTTAATTAAATTGGTTGCATTCTTTTCTGCCAAGTAGTTCAGATAGGTCCCAGGTCTCACGACAGTAAAACATGCACATCTTACCAGTAAGATAATAGGCACGTGCGGGAGATTAAAAGTGAAACATGTGTTTTTCTCTCCTCTCCCACTGAATTTCCAGAGAAATTAAAGTTTCTCGAGGAGAGGGGGTGGGGGCGACACATTTTTGTGTTGAGGAGTGAGAGGCGTGTCAAGGTTGGGTGGTTCTCTATAAAGAACCACCCCCACACTTTTTTTCACCCAAATCCTTGCAGGCCACGTTTCCATCATCAACGTGGCCTGCAATATTTTTAGTAAATTTTACTAATGTTCTTTATTTTCTTCCAGGGTGAGGAGGAGGAACAAGTGCCCCGGATTGAATGAACAGGTGCTGCTCTCAGACCCTCCCGAAAAAGCCACCCTGAGGTCGGTTACCACGCCGACTCTGGGGTAGGGGGCGGGACTGAGAGTTACGAGCAGTGCTTGTTTATGTGGTCAGTCCGTGGGCCTTGAACTGAGTCCTCACCCCCTGATATAGATACACACGTTGTGGTGGATAACGTGGCGCATGTGAATCCATTATTGGCGGGGGCTCTGCTGCGCGGTTGTGTGGCCCGGGGGACTTCCTCTGGTGGGGCTGAGACCCACTGAGTTTCTCAGTAGTTGGTCTCAGCGTAGGTGAACCACTGGGGGAGTTTTGCCTTGGGCCTGTCATCGTGCGGTGGAGGATTCACTACCGTACTTGGACCATCACTCTGGGAGGCGTAGCAATACGCCACCAGTACTTTGTCTTTTGGTGGAGCGACCAAGTCTCTTTCTGGTCCTGACTCAATTCATGGTCAGGACCGGAGAATTTTTAAGTCAAGGGGGACTTATTTGTCTTAGGGGAGGTTTGGTATCAGCACATTAAGGCACGTGCCGTGTATAAGGAGACTGCAATAAGCATCATTTGCTTTCGCAGCTGACGGTCCTGTCCAACAATGGCAGGATCGTCACCCCACCAATACAAACATACACACCAGTAAGATAACGAGCTCGCACACGAATATAGTTGCTAAGATTTTATTTTCAATAATGATTTCACACTTGTTGTGCCAATTTCTTGTGCCATCCATGTAAACTAATATGGATTATAATTTTACAACCAAACTGGAATAATCATAATTTCTTAGAGATATATAATTCCCCATCGCCACACCCTATTTTGACGAGACCTCGCCCATTCAGCCCAATTTTTTAGTCAAGTTGACAATTCCCGCATTTTGTCACTACAACGGCAGCTGCATCTGGACCACTGCATTAGAAGAGGGTTTCCTCACAAGCCTTTCCACCGTCAAGATCACAAAAGTAAAGCTCCTTCCTACCGAAGTCCTTTAGTAAATAGGGGAAAGAATTAAAGAAAGTTTACTATAGAAAAATCTCGCCATGACAAATCCAGAATTGTTTTATTCTCATTTACGGCTGTTGAAGCCTTTGCTGCGGCCGGACATTTACAATCCGCAGATCCTTGACCCACCACCAGGCTCACCACGAGAAACAACGTGCTCTCAGGACCGTCACCGATGGAGGGAATACGTGCTTACTTATCCGTAAGTTAAGTATCAAACCTGTGATTGGTGCCCGTAACATAATAAATGAATGGTTTGTCATGTAAATATCAATACGAACATAAATAAATGCATATTTTCTTATTATGCAGCTGTCTATCTTTAATTCTATGTATTACATATGTGACCCAAGTTACATACATGCATTCAATTAATTAATTAATGTGCACAATTAACTTGCATTAAGATTTAGCCCACACAAAATTATGCATCAGATCTATCAAAAGGAGTAATTGTGATCTGGAAATATTAACAAAAACACAAATATTTATCCTCATGTCTAAATAGTTGTTAATGATTCGTATCCTTACCGAATCTCTCGCGTTCGGAAAAGTCTTCACCAACCGATCCAATAAAGTAGTCCGAGCTTCCATGTGATCCTTCCTTTCAACATCGTAGGGAATATTCATCTCAACTTTTTTCGCAGACCCGACCCCTACAGAACCTTCTTTACCCTTCGGAACCAGAAATCCCATTTCCTCCACGCTGGAAAAACTCTGCCATGAAGTCGAAATCACATGTAAACTTTCCAAGACCGGGAAACACTTGGTGTAATCAATCCGACCAAACTTTCTTGATACACAGCAACCCATCTCAAATTCAACCCTGTTATTCATCCCACTCTCGATGTGGAACCGTTTCATGGCCTTGAATATTGGGAATTTCCATTCCATCACCTTATCAAAGGCTGTAGGGAATTGTACCGTTAAACTTTCTAGGGTGAGGGAATGCGTCCTCAGCAAAGTGTAGAGATTTTCTTGCAGGTAGTCGCCATTTTGGAACTCGGCATCGTACTGAATCTCAAACTCTAGGTTTTTTTAAAGAAGAAGGAACTTTGAGGAGACACTCAATCCCATCAGAGTCCAGATCGCCTGCCAATATCAGGGAAGAGAGTGATCTGGAAGTTATTTAAGGGGGACTTACATAAATCCTTCCAAAATTTATTAATTATTAATTTAACGTCCATTATGTTAATTAATCCATCGACCATGACAAACTCCTTGAGACCATCGACCATCGACCATGACAAATTTCTTGCGACCATCGCCATCGACCATCGACCAACTGGTTAATTTTGCGACCATCGACCATTTTCACGCGACCATCGACCATCGACCATGACCAATTTTTCGCGACCATCGACCATGGATCATGACCAATTTCTTGCGACCATCGACCATCGACCATCGACCATGACCAATTTTTCGCGACCATCGACCATCGACCATGACCAATTTTTCGCGACCATCGACCATCGACCAACTGGTCAATTTTGCGACCATCGACCATCTGGTCGCAAAATCGACCAATGGTCGAGCGACCATGCCGATCTATGTTCATGCATTGAAAATTCTATAGTTTCCAGCCTTTCAATTCTCACTATTTTCCTGCATGAGGGCTGACCTGTTAATTTTGTAGGTTTCGAATTCCCCATGAATTGATTGAATTATTGAAGGACTAAATTTGTGAGTGAATAAACGTTTGAATACTTGAATTGTTGAAAGATTGATTGAATAAATGTGTGAATGTTGCCTAAGCATGATGACTTTGAGTGAATATTTGAGTGAATATATTTTTGCTGGACAGGTATGGCCACTACTCGCCCGAATAGTTCTAGTTTGGTTATCCAAGATTAGAGCCCCCAAAATTTATATATAAGCAAATTTAAAATGGTTTTGATCACCAACTCATATAGATATTACTTTAAAATGTACTTACTTTAAAATTTTTTGATTCCGTTGTACGCCCACTCCAGGTCGGTTAATAGGTATGTGATAGCACATTGTTTACTTCGTTAAAGGAAGAAATTAACACATTTTCAGCTTAAAACTATTATGTTAGTTAATAAATAAATACAATTAGTAAATTCATTGAAAAAATTACATATTTTCTTTGACTCCGCTGGATGGCGTTAGAATATTTCTCAATATTTCTCATAGATCTCACTATTTCTCACTGAGATGAGATTTGTGGAGGTAAGATGAGATTTCTGCAACCCTGGATATATCCCAACTTGGGAAAGCCT